TGCCTCTGGAACTGATCGCGCAAGTAATTGAGACGAAGCGCAAAAACGTGAGCTTTACCCTTGCCGCGTTGCGAAAACAAAACTGAGGCGGCAAAGGAGGAGCGAACGTTGTATTGCATAGTACGTAATATTTAATCTAACTTTACATTGATATTACATGGTTTTATGGGAACGTCGTATAGCAGTGTCTGACAATAGTACTAGCATTTAATACCAAACAAAATAGTTTTTATAGTTCCAGTTATTTGTCTTAGTATTTCCTCGGCGATATAAGCTTTCTCGTCTGCCCCCCCCCCATCACAAATGATGGCGCGCACGAAGACACACTTGATGTCGTCGAGGGTATTGCCGTTTTTACGCTGTGAGTATCCGATGTGAGATGATGCATTGAGGAAGGAGTGGCTATGTGGTAAACGTCTCTTTAAGACCTCTCCGATCCATCTATTAATAATAGGCGATCAAGTGTCCTCAAGCATCGACATCGGCCCTGGTTGAAGAGAAATTGCACCAGAGTCTTTAGCAAACGAAGTCGGCAAAAAGGAATCCCGAGGATCAAATTGGCAGCTTAGGACATCTGTCATTTTATTAGTTTTTCTGTATACTCACTTTCCAGCCTACTCGTCTTGAGCAAGTTGCTCGTGCGATAAGGTTAACTTAGCGCTTATGACGTAAGTTTAATTGCAAGTTTCGCTGTGCGAGTCGTCAGCTCGAAACAAGGGGGCTCTACCGAGACCAATGACACGTTGGTCAAGAACGTAGTGATGCTACCAGGCTCAAGGCATGGGGTAGGACAAGGCTTACACAACGAATTTTCCGCGGTAAGGCTGTGACGATGATTACCGGTGGACGATTTGCGGTGGACTCTGATAAAGGCGTGGAACGTCGGCTCCGAGACCTATCTCCAAGTTCGCCCGCCAGCTAGGAGATTGAGAGTACACCGCCTAAGTCGCGTGGTACCGTATGACATCACCCAGACTCGCCATAGCTGTAGTGTCACATGCGAGGTCTTCGTCCATGTGGTTGCCACTGTCAAGGGCTCTATTAAGCCTTTTGTGCCCGCCAATATTTTGCTCAATTGACGATTAAAGTCCATCCCAGATCATGATGCTCTACAGCTGATGAGTCAAAGCGTCGGTCGCATTGATTATCCCTTACATTCCTGACGATAGGTCACCATTCCGTCATTCTTCGCGGATGTCCATCTTTGTCGGAAAGACGACACCCAGCAATATGCTTAGCCTGGAGCTCTCGAAAGCGTTGTTTTGGTCGTCAACGTACATTTTTCCAGCTAATGGCTATCAGATGGGACGTTTAAGCTGGAAGGTTAGCTGAGCTGGAATTTTCTTGCAATATCGAGGATATTGTTTTCAACGTCAGACAATCGGTGATCTGCCTCGACTGTGTTCGGTTAAGTACGAGCGGAGCCGGTCTGAACCGTGAGGGAAGAGACCGAAAAATTCTCCTGACCATTCACCGTTTGACATGCCAGAGCTCAAGCTCCAGCGCGCCCAAGCTCAGTGCATCAGCACCAACAGAGCACACTGTTCCACGAAGACGCAGCCTGGCTGCCAGAAGATTTTTTCCTTGTCTTCCGAAAGACTTGATTAGCATCATAAGTAGAAGTCCTTCTAGGACGGTTTTTTACCCTTTATAAGACTTTGTTCCGTGGTAGGACTTAGATATGGAAGACCATCTAGCCTAACTCTAAAGGGCTAATCAAGTCTACTTGCCCCAAATCAAAGTGATCACCGAAGGAGGAAATAACGGTGGGCGACGAGTGAGTAGCGCCGTCAACAAGTAGGCCGTGTGGAAACGGTATTGTCGACCAATGTACCGATTAGATGTGCATCTTACAGCCCCCGAACTTTATCTTGGTAATCTGTTAATTGTCATTATAAAAAATGAAATAATGTTATTTTTGCATTTTTCAATCTATAAACAGTGGAATTATTTTGCCGAAGAGACCATCTTGCGTCTGCTCCAAAGCCGCACAATTTACTTGTAAATGGCTTGTAGACAGGGGTCTCGATTATTGAATTTCTCATTAAGCAAACGCTAGCGGCTGAATATATAACGCACTGACAAATGAGCATTGGTAGCGTAAATATTGCAATGCAAAGGCAACAAACGTAAATTATTGTAATGCAGACTGCCTGTCATCTGCAGGTTTGCATCCATTGTGTCATCTACCAGCATTCGTTGACGACAGCAGCATCCCAGTAAGAGTTGCTCGCGCGCAGGAACAAAATCCTCTCCGATGTGGTAGGTCGAAGTGCTTGACGCTGCGTGCCCAACGTTGCCTTGGCTACGCTGAACAGCCGCTCCACAATGTCAGAGGTTGGGGGAATTTACGCCACCAGTTTGTACCAAGTAGTACACTGGTTTGCCTTCCTTTTCTTCTTGATCTGATCCACAAACGACGGAGTCTTTGCGGAATTTGTCATAGGAACTGACACAGAGGCACCAAGCTCATTCACACCAACCGGCGCCAACGCCGACTTCTCCGCTCTGCTCAACTCATGTATCTTGCCTCCCAGAATCTTCACACAGGCGGCCTCAAATTGAGGAGGGTGTATGATTGCTGCACGAGGTCCTGAACACACAAATATATAGTTAGTCACACAGTAGTGTTTTGAAGACCATGTAAATCAACATACCCAGATAATAGGAGAACTCGCGACAACGCTCGATCAAAGCGTCAAAGTCCATTCGCACATCTTCCAGATTGACGTTGTCGGACTGCAGCTCGTAACTTACCGCTTCGAACTTCTTGAGGTCCTCAAGGATGTCACGCATACGGTGATTTGTTGCTGGCGAGGACAGCTAGTCCTGGACGTCGTCAAAGTCCTTGATCACGTCTAGGATCTCAAAATAGCGTTTTACCATTGAGAACGTAGATCCTTAGCGCGTGTCCTGGCTAATAACCGGACGCAGGTGAGTCTTGAAACTGGCACAAGTAAATCAAAACAAAAATAAAAAACATTAAGAAAATAAGAACAAAACAATTTGAGCAGAGCAGTACCGTAGTTATGCAAAAAGGTTCAGAGTCTTCAGCTTCAACATCAGTTCTTTGACTTGGGCAAGGTCTGATGCATGGTCACGAAGCATCGACTGTATGGCAAGGTTCAGTCTGTGGCTCGCACAACCCATGAGAGGCACCCCGATGAGATTAGCCAGCCTCTTATTTACGGCGCAATTGTCTCCGACAATGAAAAGACAATCGTCTAGACTCTTTTGGTAGTCACGAGACAGCATTTCACGCAGAAACGCGACATGTGCCGCTGCGGAGTGGTCATCGTTAGGATTGTTGACCAGCGGGTGCATCGCAACCTTGATTTTTCTAAATATCAGTTCAGCCAAACGATAGATAACAGGATATCAGCGACGAGAGGATCGCTGCGCTGTAGCGAAGTTGATTCGTGCGCACCGCACCCAATAAAGGTTAAGTTGACGCCCATGATTGTTTATGAACGTGCATGCACTTGTGCCCCCCCCCCCTCCTCAGTGGAAATATCATGTACCGTCCCCACTTCTCAACATTTTCGCTAATGAATAAGCTGAACCCTAACAGGTCGTTCGAGAACAAAGTCAAGTATCAGCATCTTTCCTTCACTAAGGTGACACAGACAGAATCTAGCCAACGCAGCTTGGAAGACAAACCACAAAGTGCGATGTCCTTCATTGGAGCTGTGTCTAAGTACTTGAGCGATGCGCTGCGTGAATCGTCTCTCCTTTCAGCCGCCATGCATCGCCCTCATGATTCATAGGAGACGTGACAGCCAGCTGCTGGGCCAAGCCAAGTTCTTCAAGTATTAATACCAGTGTTTATGACAGCGTAATTGTCCTGATTTGAATGGAATTAGTTTACAAAAATATATGTAAACAGTTTTCGAGGATCTCAAAACGCAGTTCGAATAATTTGCGGTGTCCAGTAGAAAAGGTACCATCTGGGAAAGATGCTCCGTTGAATGCGTTGATCGGAGATCGACCATTCCTGATTCGGCCAAGCATTGATCAAGCTGTCAGTGTTACAATGGACAATGTGAAAGTTGGGTCTACTTGCTTGTGCGGCGTGTGGTTTACCACTCTTGATGTGCTCGCCGAGCACCAAAGCACTTGCGACCACGTCAAAGTCGAGGACTGGGAACGCACTCTCCAGGCCATAACGTCGCCCGGCTCCGAGTGTTTTCCTTGCTGTCGCCTACTCTCGCTGGACGACGTGCTTTTCAACGGTCAGATGCTAGTTTATCGCACTTATGAGGAAAGTGTCTGCTGCTCTGGTTGTCGCGATGCATGGTACCCCTACGAAGGCAAAGCCATGCTGCAGCGTCAAGACGTGGACAGATATCTCTATCTGAGACGCACAACTATCCCGCATCCGTGGCTGAAGCAATACCGAGCTCATCTTTTCAAAGAACTACAAGAATATCTCCATCATCCGATTCGAGTTCAGAAATGGCTCGACAGCGGACACGAACTCGAGGGCTACCTGGAGTAAATGTCGTTGCGCCAGAGTGTCGAGTATTATCACACGAGAAAGCTCGAATAAATGTATTTAAACCGTAGAAGGTGCTTTATGGTAAACAGGTTTTGGTTGGCTTGAGGCATACTGCATGGATGTCCTCTGCACATTTAGTCAATAACTTCAGCAGCTCGTGCCTTGCGCGATTCCTGGACGCCCGACGCATCATGTCATCCACCGATCAACGTTGACTCTTGAGTCAAGGCCCAGGCTACTTCATGTGACGTAACTAAGCGACGCAATGTTGCTTGATCTGGTGGTGGTCAAACTTAATTTTCCCCAGTGATTGCGAAGTTTATCGTCCATGCCGCCGACAGAACAACGCTTGCCCTCTTTGGGTGAGCAGGAAGTTAATGGAGAGACTGCAGTAACTCGACCACTATTGAACGTCAAAGATGGCGAAAGCAAGAGCTCGCTTGGAATAAATGCGACGGTCAAGCCAACACGATCTCGAACTTTGAACACTGTGGCCCACATGATGCTCGTTGGGTCGATCGCTATCTACGTTTGGGGACAAGTCATGTACTTGTCGCCGTCGATCCAGTTGAGCTTCATGAACGCCATCAGTCCGTTCTGGAGTGTTCCGTTGACCCCGCCACCTCCCGGTTCGGGGCTCAAGGCCTACGGACACTATGAAATGCTCGCTCCGACGTTCTTTGTGTTGTTCACGGTACTACCACTGCTCGCGAGTTTGATCTTCTTCGAGTTTGTTCGCGACTACAACGTCCATCGCCACACAGCACGTCGAGTATTGGCGGTTTCAGCTTTGCTACGTCGGAAGCCTCCGCGTTTCAAGTCGATCCCTGGTCTCCAATGGATGAAAGAGTATTGCTATGGAGAACTTCTCTTTATCGCGTTCTTGGTCGTCGGCAACGTCGTCTTGTTCGTGTACGGATGGATCAATCAACGTCGCGTTCTTCCTCGTCCAGGAGATCCGTACGACTTCAACACAGTGCTAGAGCTCAGTGGGGTCGTGTTTGGCTACAGCTCTGTCTTCAACTTGGCGTTCGTCTTCCTGCCCTGTACACGACACTGCGCTTGGATGGAGTTTTTCAACATCTCGTACGCGAATGGGGTCAAGTATCATCGCTGGCTTGGAATGTTGTCTATCTATACTGCAGTTCTACACGCGATACCATTCTACTGGATGTGGGCGCGTCAAGGTGTGCTAGCTAAGCAAGCACTACCGTGTTTTGACTGCCAGCTCGACTATTGGCACATTGGGTATCCCAAGTGGTTCAACGTCTTCGGTGAGATCTCGCTCTTCTTCATGCTCGTCGTCACCTACACGTCGCACCCGTGGGTTCGTCGAAACCTCTTCGAAGTGTTCTACTACGTGCACCACCTGTACATCCCCGCTGTGATCTTCGCTGTGCTACATTTCAACGTGATCGTTTGGTGGCTGCTACCCACACTCGTCCTGTACCTGTCGAGTCGAGCGATTTCCCGCTGGAACTCGCTTTTCCCAGTGCAAGTGCTTGAGTTTTCGTGCCTGCCTGAGGGTCTGGTCAAAATTGTGCTCGCTCGGTCTACCACTGGCGGCTTTGACATTGGACAGTTCGTGTACTTGAACGTGCCTGCTATTTCCAAGCTGCAGTGGCACGCATTTACCATCAGTTCTTCACCTCGTACAAGTCCGACGTCTCTGACTATTCTCGCCAAGTCGTTAGGAGACTGGACGCAGGACCTTGTTCAACACGCACAAGAATGTCGAGATAAAGACAAACTTCCACTTGTGTACATGGACGGCTACTACGGTGCCTCACTCGCAGGATACGACGAGTATTCCACCGTGTGTCTCATTGGCGGCGGTATCGATGCTACCCCACTGTTTGCTATACTGGAGGATATGGTAGCTCGACTGGAGAAGCACGATCCGTCCTTGCCGAAGCAGCACGTCGTCCTGATCTTGGCAATTCGTGAACTTGCGTTAATGGAAGAGGTTTCTTCGCTGTTATCCAAGATCCGGCACGTGGTCAGCGCTTTACACTGCGCTTCAATCTGACTCGTACGCCTAGTAAGGTTATGCTGGACACATCGATTGACTACGAGAGATTACGAGGCAAGACCAGTATCATTCAACACACACACGCTCAGTCAGGGGGATTTATGAGGCTGCGTGGTACTCCGGCTCCTTTTATCGAGCCGCTTCGCTCCAGAGGCGCTAAAATCGTGCTGTACATGGCAATGTTTGTGCCGATCACTTTGTTGGTATTGTGGCTCGAATTCGACAACGGAGTGTTGATGGATCACGGCAAGAAAACCCAGTATTGGCCCCTGCAGAATTTCGTGGAAATCGGAGTTGTATTCCTTATCCCGATCGTGGCGTATGCTTTGTTGGCGATAAACCGATGCCGACGATCTCGTCCGAGCTACAATGTGAAGCTTTCGGCTCTGGACCTCGACGCCGCACACTGCAACTACTCGAGTATTCGACCAACCACACCAAGTTTAGATGTTGGTGGCGAGGACCCACGTCTACGAACATTGCGCGATTTGGTGGAGAGGTATGATGTCACTTGTGGAACTCGGCCGAATATGGCCCAAATTATGCGAGAAGTGCTGGAGATGCACAACTGCACAAGTGGAACACCGATTGGGGTCTTCATTTCGGGACCTGAGGCACTGAAGACTGCAACCGACGATGCCATTGCTGACTTAGGAACACACAACTTTGATGTTTATGAAGAGGAATTCGAGCTTTAACGAGCTAAAAGAGTATTACATGTACCAGCACACAACAGATATTTTACTTCAGATTTTTTAGGGGGGGGGGGTCTGGTTTGTGGATCGATTGTACAATAAGTTGGTACAGCGTTTCTCATGTGGGCCTTAATTCTCCTCTCCAGATTGTGATGTGTTGGGAGCGCTTAGCTCAGATATGATTCGAGGGTGTGGCCGCTGTTGACACTGGTGCACTCGAGTCGGGTGATAAAGGAGCTCTTGTATCTCCTTGAAAAGGTGGGCTCGGCACTCTTTGAGCCATTGGTAGAGAACGGTTGTCAGCCACAGTCGCAGGTACTTTTGCACTTCGTGGGGACATATTGATTGTATGGGTATACATGTATGTTGTCCACGCAGAGCGAACAAACGTAAATTTTATCGTGCGGGCGATTGAGGATCAGTACAAGGTGTGAGGAAGTCGTTGCAGCAATAGCAAATGCGTTATGTTATGCGAGCCAACACTCTTTCCCAGTGAGCGACTTTGGCCTGGTTACACGTTGCTTGGGGTGTTGCTTTAGTGGTTTTTTTAAGGAAAGCTGATCCACACTACAGTGTAGTCTCCCGCGTCCATCCAATGTTCCTTTTCGTAGAGATCCAGGGTACCTGGACAAGTAGAATAGGTGTACGCTTTCTAACAAGCTCGGTAACAGTGAGCACTACGCTGTCGACAAGACATCGTCAAGCGACGGATTCGGCTAAAATGCCTTCCCTCTTTTGAACCTTTCACATGGTCACAGGTACTTTGATGCTTCATCAGCTAGCTGACTTGCATAGGAAATAACTCAGCGCACACGCTTTGAATCCAATACGAGGGTTCTCGATTCGCCTTCTGGCTTGAAGTGTTACCGGTGGGCACATGTCGGATCAAAACGAGTCAGTAGTAAGATATTCTGCCAGAACCGAGATTGACGTTCTCATATTTCTGCTCTATTTCGAAAACTGAATCGGTGGTACAGGCATATACTTGGTGTTTCGAGCTCGGCGTATTGCTGGCATCAGCACAGCATAGCACGCTAGTAAAGCCAAGATTGCAGCAGCCCCAAAGCCTGCAATTTCCTGTGCTGGAAAATATCCAGGAGGATACCGCTCGCGCTTGCTGGGCCAGTCGTGTGTCGACACGATCCACGTCTCGTCTTTGACTTGACGTTCAAGATTAGATACGAACTCAAAGTGCAGATGGGTCGAGTTGTAAATGTGCACTCGACCGTAGCCGTGCTCGAGAAAGCCCTGCTCGCGCCAGCGTGATCGGTAAAAACCGGCATCATCCACTTGGTATCCCCCCGAGCCAATCATAAGATGTACTGGAGCCATCGCCTTGCCGCTCGGAGACTCAATGCAACGATTTCCAAACACGGGACATGTGCGTTCATACGAGTGATAATGACCCGCGAACACGACATCGACGTGGTAGTCAGCCAGCTCCTGTTCAAGCTCATCACGGAACAATAAAGATCGGTAGTAGTCACCCGAGTAGGCCACAGAGCAGTACAGTGGTCGGTGGATATATACAAAGACCCACGGCGTCTTTGAGCGATCGACAGACTTGAGATCATTCACCAGCCAATTGTGCAGTGGAGAACCCCGTGCAAATTCGTGTTCACTGCTCACTACCGCGTGGTGCACAAGCCCCGTGTCGAAGCTGTACCAGTAGGCACCATTTCCGTTATCCGGCATGTGGAAGCGTTTAGACGAGGGCACACCACATTCGCCGAAGGAGTCGTAGCCATGAGTGCCTTCCTTTTCAAACGTCGGATGTGATGGCCACTTGATGTGATCTTTCGTCACTCCTTCTTGGTATCCATAATCTACAGGTCGCACAGGTCAGTACAACGAGTTCCTCCCACTGGAAGCAACATATATGCGCTACAAAGTAACTCACCATGGTTGCCAATGCTGATCATGTAGGGTAGACGCGCAGCCGCGTATTCAATGAGATGGCCGAATTGGTCCCAGACATAAGTAGCTAGGCCAGGTCTCCAACATGCATGACAGCCACATATATGTGCTTACTCGGATCGGCAGCAGCTCGTTCCATATCCTCGCGAATCAGTTGCATCGTAGTGCCACATTCGCCATTGTCTTCGGCAAAATTATCCGTCGCCCGAACAGGAGAGTTCAGGTCGCCATAAACAAAGAAGCTCATACTCGATCCCTCTTCGTCCGTCTGTACGCTATTTCTCCCCGTAGGCGGAGGCATCCGAAACTCATGGATGTCACTTCGCTCTCCGTTCTCATCCCCAACCTGATAAAAGTATCGCTTCCCCGCTTCCAGTTTCGTCATAACAGCGTCAAAAATCTGCCCTGGGTCTCTATAATATCGTGGATATTTTGCTGTCGCCAAACCATTGCACATATCCTCGGCGCTGTAGCTGCTCTGCGTGGCCCTCTCAACTCTGTGCAACTTGCTCTTCTGCTCTCCAAACGTCACCACGGGGTTGGAGACATTGGCACTAACCCACTTGACTCTCATCTCGTCCGCATTCTGCGTCAAGGCCAAATGCACCTGCAGCGGCTGCGTCGCTCCGTGTTTAAACCTCAGTAATTTACTCTCCCCCAGCACCTGGTCGTCCACTGTGATGAACCGCAGCAGCCACGAGCACCGCATGTTAACTAACGGCCCGATCTCCACCACCCCCGACCCATTGCCATTAGTGGGAACCAAGTCAATAGACTCTAGTACATCTAGTGTGCGATTTGAGAGTTCGTCAGTCAGGCTTACACAGTAAACAGCGACTCTGTCCTGGCTGTAGAACTCGGGCTGGGGCGGTTTGTACTCAAAGGAGACGCTCACAGTGTCCAAATTGTCCAGAAGGGTCTGATTTACGTCGAATCGAGCCAGACGGCGTGGAATATTGTGTGCATCTCGGATCTCCAAGTCTTTCTGGTCATCACGCAACGACTTGGACGAGCTACCGGTCGCGTAAAGCAGTGTGAGGACGAGCACGAGCCCCGAGATGACCAGGAGTGCTGCGAGCCACTGAAGAGGTGACCTGCGGAGTTTGTTCGAAGCTTTGCGGGGACGCATCTGCACGTCCGAGGTGGGGCGTGTGTCTTCAGAGAGTGGAGACACAGGAACGAGGAACGCGCGCCGTTCCAGCGGCGCGTCCGGCATGATTACTCGCTTTCTAGGATTATTGAGAATAAAAACTAAACAGAAAACAGAACTAATTCATAAACATTTTTCCTAAAACAAAAAAATCGTTTCTTTTAAAATATTTGCTTTTTTATTTTTAAAGTACATTTACAGCTCGTTTTTTTTTTAGAAGAAAAGTTGAAAGTTAAAAATATATGCTCTGTAGTTCTCATTTAAAAAATAAAGAACTCAATACAACATATTTAAAAAATTCATGGTTCTTTTTTAACATCAATTTTTAAAAAATTGGCAGAAGCACAGCTATTGATGCCGATGAACAATGGCGTATCGAGGCAAAATCTATTCAGACTACCGGTAAGCGATTATATATACGGGTTTACTTTGGTTTAACTACTAGCTGTGGTCGACGACGTGCTTCGAGCCGCGTTAGCTGCACACTAGTTTCCTGCTTAGACGAGTCCAAGATAACTGAACAGCATGAGTGCTATCCACAGGTAACTGAAAGGCACGCCCATAATCCACAGTAGGAAAAAGATCAGCAGCAGGTTGCCACCACCGATTCGGTACTGGGAAAGACGTCCATTTGGCTGCGGGCGGTTGTCCCCAGCAACGTTCTGTCCGTTCGGCGCACTTTGAAAACAACAAAACAAGCATTAACACTTCCCTACTTTTACAAGGTCTAAGTTCTTTTACCCACCGCTGTCGCTGGTTCACGCGGTGCATTCGCATGCCGGGCATGCCCATCCCCATCCCCGGTGCTCCACCAAACGACGTGAACGTGAATCCAGGTCCAAACTGCGACACATGCACTCGAGAACCTCCGAAGTTGTGCATGCCACCTCCTCGCATACCTTCCTGGAAGAACATGGAGAATGGGTCCTGTCCGCCGAAGAACGTGCGGAAAATTTCCTCGGCATCCTGGCCTTGGAACGGGTGCATGCCCGGGCCCCCGCCTCCTGCGGCACCGCCCACGCCAGCCTTGCCAAAGCGATCGTACTGGCGTCGCTTATCGGCATCGGAGAGCACCGAATACGCCTTAAGAGCAGCAATACATGAGTCAGCAGCTAGTAGCCAAGCCATAATATGTATCAAGCAATCTGCGTTACCTCTCCAATCTCCTTAAACTTGATCTCGGCCTCCTCTTTATTGTCCAGATTCTTGTCTACAATTGAGATAAAAATAAATAATATTTTTGAGCAAGGGGAGCAGTGAAGACAATGGCGCACCTGGGTGGTAGCGGATAGCCATCTTGCGGTAGGCACGCTTGATCTCTTCCTCTGTGGCCGTCTTCTGGATGCCCAGCGTCGCGTAGTAGTCCACCTCCGCCATGCTCACTGCTCTTACTGACGACTACAGTAACACACTGAAGCTGAAGCGACCTTCAAGCGACAGTGTTCCGCAAAACTGTGGTGTGTGACACACGAACTTACTGTTGCGCCATATTTTTTGGAACAACATGCACAGTACGTGCACAACGCACTCACTAGGCTGGTTGCAACGCAAGGAGTTTCTTGCTTATCTGTATTAATAGAGGCGAGTGGCCGTAGCTCATGGTACTGTTTCTGCCTTTTTAAACACTTCCGGCATTGGAAATTGTCGCGACCTTCAAGCTTAATAGTAAGTTAACATGGCCGTCGTGGTACCTCTAACGCCGGTGCAGCCAATCGTGCCGCCACTGCAGCCAAATATTTCCAAGCGTAGCATGGCAGTTCCGAGACGATCTGTACCACGCGCCGTCGTGTTGGTACAGCAGCCAACACATCCGATTTTGTGCTACTTCGAGGATCTCGACGTGGAGCAGAAATTCCAGACGTATTTTCGACGAGAATGGCAGACTTGCATCGTCAGTCAAATGGTCAGTGTGCTACTTGTGTTCGCTGCATTTACTTGTGCATCTTCCAATGCAGCGACACTAGCTATCACGGAAGCATACGCTGATTCGATCTTTGCTGAGCTCGAAATTGTATACTCCAACAAAGAGTTACTCTCGACATCAAGCTTCTCTCACGCACTGTGGCTGAGTGACAAGTCTTTCGCGGCCATCGCATTGATTATATATGTACTAGCAGGGATTTGTGTATTCCATATCTGGCGACGACGAGGCGAATACCGTTTTCCACGTGTGAGATTGGACCCCGTGCAGCTTGTTCTGCTGCTCTTTTTTCACTGTATAATCGCTCCGTTGTTCCTGGTAATCTGCGCTGGAATTGAGAAGCAGACTCGCTTGGCGAAGCAGCTCTCAGTGGTACATATCGACGACGTAAGGCTCACATCCATCCTGCTCGGTGAGGGTTTTTTGGATGGCTTGCTCTTTCTCGAATTACTTGGAGCGTGCGTGTGCACGTGTTTACTACGACTACAGTTTACGTACTGCATCTTTGTGGTCACGGAGCTCTCGATAGCTGCGATCGTAGCGACTGGTGTTCATGATACAGCGAGTGTGGTACTCAACAGAAGACTAGCAGTTCTGGCCGTTTTTCTAATCTTGTTAGGCTTGCTGCTGCGTATTGTTCGAGAACAGGAACGCAGTACACGACGAGACTTCCTCACGTCTTTCCATCTGGTCACGGAAGCCCGTCGTCTTAGCAGTGCTAACCTCGAAATGAAGGAAGAACTCTCTGGTAAACTCAACTACGAATTGCACTACGAAATGGGCGACATCCTCCGCATTCTGTGTCAAATCAAGGTTAAGATGAGTGCCGCTGAGAAGCTAGATATCGACAAGATTATCACGGCCCTTGTTCGAAATCATGACCTGTTTGAAGTCACGCTCAGCTCAACCATGCCTGAATTTGAAGAAGAGGTTCAAGGCTGGCTGCATATGATGGACTTCAAGGATCACCCTGCATCATCTGGGGACGATCCTGGATTCATGACTAAGCCAGGCAGCGATGGTCGTCGCTCTCGGCATTATTCCTTGTCGAACGACATCCTCCGGGTGTCGACGTCTCGACGTTTAAGTACTCAAAAAGGCACAAGCGAACACTTTCAAGCTAGCGACGATGGCCTCAACCACTTGCTACGTAGCTACAGTAACCGAGACGACGCGTTCGGCGCAGCGATTCGACCACGCGAGGAAGATCTGTCCAACTGGCTGATGGATAGGCTTCAGAATCATTTCTTCGTTGACATCTTCTACCTCGAGCAACACTGTTTTGCACCTCTTCAGGCGGTCTTTATAGCCTGTGTGAAGACTAATGGCTTGATCGATCGACTCGATCTGGACGAGAAGAAGCTTGTTTGTTTTGCTGCAGCTGTGGAGGAGCGATACATGAACCGAAATCCGTACCACAATCGAGTGTAAGTCCATGCTGGTGCCTTTACATTTTATAAGCACAATGTGGCTGACTCATTTGATTTACTCATTCCCAGACACGCTGCTGCGGTTGTCGCCGATATCAATTTTTATCTACGACGTGTCCATCTTAGTGTTGATGATAGTACACTGCTTGTGGCGCTTGTGGCGGCAGCAGCGCATGATATTTCGCATCCGGGAGTCTCCAACGGATTCCTCATTGCCACGAAATCCAATTTGGCCATCACGTACAGTGATGACTCGGTTCTGGAGCGCATGCATGTTGCGGAACTGTATCGCATCTTGTCCCACGTTGCATTCGATGTCTTTAGTAATATGGAAGCAGCCGAGCGCGCTGAGTGTCGTAAGATCATTATTGGTATGATCCTCGCAACAGACCTAGCACGGCATTTCCAGCGTATTTCAGTGCTCAAGACCAAAACTTTTACCATGCCAGAGCAGGCGCAGGGACTCGAGCTCTCGCTGCTGATGGAGACGATGCTCATGCTTGCAGATCTGGGGCACACAGCAAAACCGTTTTCATATCATGAAACGTGGGCCGAGCGAATTTCCGAGGAATTCTTTCGTCAGGGCGAAGCCGAGGAGCGCAATCACTTGCCGATATCGCCGCTATGTGACCGCAAACAAGCCAATTTGCCACGTAGCCAGGTTACATTCCTTACGTTGGTCGCCACGCCGTTGTTCGAGACTGCCGGCCAAGTCTTCTCTATAGACGATTACGACTCTGTGATCTCTGAGTTACGCAACAACATTTCTATGTGGAAAGAACGTATTGTAACATGCTGAGGGCACTGTGCTTGAGACCCTATCAGTCGATTCACACAAGAGCAAGACGCTGAAAGAGAATGCTGCATAGTAGTCTGTGACGTAAACTAGAATATATATATATATGTACCATGATGCTTTCGTCGAACATGAACCTTGGCACAGTATGTTTTAAGCACAACCAAAAGCAGGCTTACGAGTACTCGACCTCCTCACCGTACTCCGTGTAGTAGTTGGCAACGGACACGGAGGACTTGTCGGCGTTTTCGGTGTCGAACCAGACACAGCACTTCTCGTATGGAGGAGAGTAAAGGTGCATCGAGATGGCTCTGATCTCCGGATGTGGGTTGCCTACCTTGTGAAGTCCGAACGAGTCGTCCATGTAGGTTACACCCGATGTGAGCACTACATTGGATGTCTGGACGAGTTTATCGTTTTGCTTCTCGTAGCGCACCTCGTTTACATTTCCTTGGATTACCTTGACCCAACAGCCATCCGTGGGGTGGTCGTGTACGGGGCTGTACTTGCCAGGATTCCAGCACAGCAGCATGAGTGCGTATGTCTCGTTGTCCGTCGAAATGAGGTTGCGTGTGTAGTTGCGAGACGGATCAAAGTGTGCAAAGCGCTGCACGTCCTCCATATTGATCGAGACGTCCCTAGAAATACAACACATACGCGCGTCATTAAAATAAGGCCGGTACAGCTAGCAAAATGTTCCGTACTCGAGCAGTTGCTGGAGTTTGGGCTTGTGTTTGATAGCGAGTTCAGGGTCGCGCTCCAACTCGCGCTCCAGCGTCTCTACCAGCTGCGCCAAGTCCATTGATGCTGCGATTTTCTTATCAGGTTCTTCAAGACTTGGATCCATTGCTAAATAAGTCTCCGGTATGGCTGAAGTCGTAGTGTCCATGGCGCTCGTTCTCTCGTATCCGCCACCGTATTCGTGACTGTTCGCTGTTCTCCAACGGCTAAAGATCAGCCAATGAGAGCCGCTCATTCATTCCGGTGATGCAGGTGTCTGGTTAAGTACGATGAACATCATCATGAAGCTGCAACTTCGACCATCCAAAAGAAAACACATGTGTACGCTTTCGTTTTACTTGTCTACCAACGTGAATTCTATTGCGTTGAAGTATACTCTAGGATTCTTAGGACACTAAGCTACAGTACTCTCTTTCTGGTCCGCAGTGAGCTCCCTGGAATCTGGGTGCAGCCAGTTCTTGTACGGAGCAACAGCAGGACCCAACAAACGGTTGAGTTGGCGATCCAGACACTTTTCAATGCTGCACAAGTGGCGAATATAAGCCAGCTTCGGCCACGCAGTACGCAGTCCGCCTTCGATGTAGTCATGCATGTCCTGCTTGCTCGGGTTCTGGATGGCCTTAATGCCGATCGCCTCTTGGAACGAAAACTCGGGGACGAGCGTCACGTTGCCAGAGAAGTTCTGTCGGAAGTACGCGCTGAACTGATGGCCATAAATTTTAGGGAAAAGACCTAGGAATGCTAGCATCTTGAGGCGGTGACGCACGTCGGCAGCGATTACGCTCTCAAGAGTGTGGAAAATGCTCTTGCGGAAGCCAGGCTGGTTGATCTCGTCGCCCACGAAAGGCACAACGTGTGGGTTCACTTGTGACACGATAAAGTTCGTCACATTGAAGCAGCTCGCCATAGTTTCCATGGGCAGATCATGCTGGATACTACCGTCGCACCATTCCTTGCCCAGCGAGTTGTACGGAACAACGTTGCCGTCGAAATCACGAGCCATAAGCTGTTTGCTCTTCATAATTCCAGGAAGTGAGCACGAGCAAGCTACGGCACTCCAAAGCAAAACGTGAGGAGAGTTGATGTGGTCCAGTAGCAACTTTTTGGGGCCTTTGTGGGCGCTATTGACATCGGAAGCTGAGACAGTGATGCACACGTGACGACCTGTCTTGAGGTAGGCGTCCTGGAACGTGTAGTACATTGTCTTCTGCACCGCGTTAAGCGGTTCACCATAGTAGTGCTGTGTAGTACGTTCAAAATTTGAGCACTCAACAAGAAATCCAGTCTTGATACAGTATGTGATCTGGTCAAGCAGAGGTGGAAACCAGCGAATACCCAGAGGGATAAACCGTGTGGAGACGTCGTCCTGGATGATGTCGTCCAGCAGCTCCTTATTCGTCTTGCAGGCAATCATTGCTGCGGTGATTGCGCCACCAGATGACCCGGAGACGATGTTCGGCATCAAATCAGCTTCGAGTAGTGCCTTGATAATACCTTTATGGTACATGGCGATGGAGCCACCGCCACTCAAACACAGCGCTGTTGAACCGAACGACTGCTTGATATGCTTGAAGAATTGAACTTTTTCCTCGCGCGGGAACTCGTCTGCACTTGCGCTTCCTAGAACTTCCAGTGCTTGAACGACAGCATCGTTGTACTCGTTAATCACAGTCTTGGTGCCGGATTTGCATTCAAGATGTAGACTTGGCGAGTCCACACCCAACTCGTTCCGCATAACACAAGCTGCCATCATGTACCGTAGCTCTCGGATGTTGGGCTTGTCTTCGTTCAAAACGCGTTGTAGAGCAGTCAAGTTTGTTCGTAGCTGGACAAAGTCACAGTACTCTAAATCTTCGTCAGATATCGTTGTCTTCCAGTCGTCTTTGCCTTCCAATGTATCCAAATATTCAGCCATCTCCGCCCATACTGCGCGAGTCGGTGCAGTCCTCATAAGCTGTCGCAGTGCTGCAGCCTGTCGGTTGCGTACACCAAAGATACTTGCATACCCACGTTTTACGACTACCAGTACAATTTTGATGAGTTTAACGGTGAAATAGCACGACATGGAGAAGAAAATGCGAGCCAACTGGTACAGTGCGATACCCCACTGCAGCGAAACTCTCGCCTGCAGATACAGGAACCAGCCGATGACTTTGTACTTGTGGATAAGCACCAAACACGCGATTGTCAATGTGAGTGCTGCAGTGACCTGTGGGCTGTTGTATATGGCCTGCAAGATCGATACAAACGAGCTGGAGGCTTTGATGTCGAGCGCCTGCATGGCCTTCCATCCATCAGTAAGTACGATAGAGGCATTCCCTGTTGTCCACACTGCACGTGTGTGGATTTGAGCAGCAAAGCGTGGGGTCTCTACCATTGCTAGTGCAGCCATGGGTACGAGGTAGTAGCTAGCAATGGCCACGACCATTACGGCGCTGGTGACGTTCGCAACGAACTGAGCGATGCGCTCCGAGTCCTTCCACGTGGTCTTGGGTTGCAGTACCAGTGGAATATGTCGCTCGCTATCAGTGCGCGTCAGCTCTAGCTTCAATTGTGGTTCTGCTGCCACTGACGTTGAGGAGATTGGGGGTGTCACGGTGGCCATTGTCGTCTGAGACGGAGCAAAAAGTTGGACGGTGGTGGGTGCTCTTCGTTTGTAGCGTGTAGAGTGGTAATTGAACTAGTTTGGCGTTCAAGGGAGAGCTAATATTGGCAACTTGCCTTGTGCAATGGCGACCTGCTTGCAGAGAAGTGAGTGCGATGCATGTCACTTTTGTGCACGCATTTCTCAGATTTCATCAGATGTAAACTGAAGGGGATAGCTTTCAACCAATTGAGCTTTTTTACACTGATATTTCAGCCATTGATAGAAGAGACCTACTACTATTGGATGAAACTCGGACTGACTGCGACGTCGACCAATTTGGACCAAAGTTGCGCCAGCTGCCGGGCGGATCGGACATTTTGCAACACAATTTAAGCGTTCTCAGATCTGATGATGTCCATCAGCCAATCATCGTGCTGTAGTGGCAGAGGCCTTCACGCTACGAATTGGCATGAACTTGCGCTATCGAGCGCCGCATCAGTGAGCTGCCTCTGAGTACGCAACCCGATCAAGATCATGGTGTGTCCCGCATCCGACGACTGCAAGCCCGCGCCACCAGTGCAGGTGATGGAATCTCCGGTGGCTTTGAAGGTGAAGACGATCAGGACCAAGAAACCCAATGAGGTGATGCTTGGTATCTGCGGCGGAGTGGGTCCGGCTGCGGGATTGTTGCTGCACCAGCTCATACTGCAGAACACCGACAGTGCTGGAGAGGACCAAGGTCATCTGAATGTTTGCCACTTCTCGCGTGTCGAAGATATGACGGACCGTACCGAGTACCTCGTTTACGCCGCGAGCGTCGGCGCTGATGCAACTGATTCCGACTCGGATAGCGGGTCTACAGACGAAGATATATCTTACGACTCAGCGAAGGAGGTGGAGAACCCAGCATGTGGCATGGCCCGTACGTTCTCCATGATGCATGCTGCAGCCACTGCGGGACGTGCTCGACTTGTGGTAGGTGTGCCGTGCAATACGTTTCATGCTCAACCAATCTGGAACGAGTTCATACGGCGAACAGGTCATGCGAGCTACGTACATCACGTGCACATGTTGGAAGAGACGGTGGCGTTCATCGCAAACAAGCTGCCATCATGTAAACGCGTAGGACTGATGTCTACTACAGGAACACGAAACTCACGCGTGTACCATGATTTAATGGAGCCGCGTGGGTACACTGTGGTGGAAGTGTATGCCGGAGTGATGCAGCAGGAGCTTCACGAATCGATTTATAACCGCGAGTGGGGAGTGAAGAGTACGGCACCTTCAGTGTCATCGCGTTCGGAGGCAAATTTCCATCGCTATGCGCTGCATCTACGCGAGCAGGGAGCTGAAGTTATAATCTTAGGCTGTACCGAGATCCCATTTGTATTTGCTGGCAAGACGCATGTAACTGGCTGCCTCCTCATTGATCCGATGATGGCACTGGCTCGTGCCATGATTCGCGAGGCTGATCCAGCGAGGTTGAAACCGGTAGATGGCAGCTGTACCTCTTCAGGTACAAATTCTGTGAAGCCACAAATCTCGACCATGACAGCTTCGCTGACGCCTCGCGCACATTCGCTAACTTCCACCCATACGTAGAGTAATAGATTTAAAGCAATGTCAACCTTTATTTTGAGTCGCAACATATCTCAATTCTGCATTTACATCAACGACGAGAGCTGGTTCAAGAAGTCCGTCGCCTTCTCAGATGCTGCAGAATCAGGCATAGTGCTCGTATATGTAGCGCTTTCAGTCGATCCGGCTACTTCTTCGCGTTGTTTGCGAAGACGCTCCAGACGCAACTGCTTCCTCGTCTTCTTGTCCACCACACCGGATAAAGAAGGGTGCGCTAATGACTGCGCAAGAGTCGCTCTCTCGTGCACTTCCTTTAAATGGCGTTTCTCCGTACTTTTTAAGCGCTTCTCCCACTGCGAAACCACAAAGCTTCCTTCTTCTCTTGTGTTGTCTTCAGCTCCACCACGGTGTTGCTTCTCAGATGTCTCCATTTTAAACTGCTGTTGCGTTCCCAAGAACGCTGCGTACTCCTCGCTGCCCGTCGCGACATTCCTTGTGCGTCCGAACTCGTCCATGATTTCCACCATAGTCTTCTTATCCTTAACACTCATCTCTTCGCTCAACTTCTTCTTGGCTTCAAAGTTAACCAGACATTCCCCTTTCATAAAGTCTCGGCTTCCTCCATTGGCCATCTCCTCGTACAGCTTTGTCTTCTTTCGAAGCATCTCCGCTGACTTCTTGCTCCATGCTTCGTCGTCGCCTTCGTCTGGAGCTTCTTGCGTTTTTTTCGCCTCATCGCGCTGATTGCGAGCGTCCACGCCTCTGTTACGATGATTTTTACCTACACGGTTCTCGTCAGACCGCTTACGCCGCTTGCTGCCGCCTCGCAAATGCGCGTATTTTCCTAAACGGCGACACGAGCTCTCTTCGTCGTTTTCTGCTGTTAAGGCATCTTGCAGCCGGCGTTTTCGCTCTTGGTCCTTCTGGAACACAACGGCCTTCAAGTCCACAAGAGACTTGGCGTCGACCTTGATCTCCTTGGCCTTGGACGGCACGAGTGCCGACTCCGTCAGGAACCCGAGCGACATGTTCAACACAGTTCTGGGTTTTGGCAGCTTATTCTATAATAAATAAATATTAGTCAAATCGGGCCAGTTTGCTATAACATTTAGGTTTTTGAGTCCATGAACCCTTTTACAGCGCTATTCTGTATTCTACAGAATAAGAATTATGACAGGACATAATTTCCAGCAAGCTTGTAATCGTCGCAATTCCTCGCATGCTTGTGTTTGTAAAGGGTAGAGATGGGTGGTTCGATCTTGAGGGATCTACGAAGGGAAGATAGCCGGGGATAATTCGAATTGAATAGAAAAGACAGTATAAGATGACTGGAGGTTTTAAAAATTCAGTTTCTTGCTATTTTCGGCAGTTGTTGGTGACCACAGATTTCAGATTTATTCGAGAATGAACGCTCCCAACAAAGAAACCGTTCAAGCAGTTATGGCGCGAGCTATCCAAGGCAGGATGGAAAGCGAGGAAGCCTAAAGGACTGAGTGCGGACTTCACGTACGTGATGCCCAGTGTGACTGGCCGCTTGGATGCAGAGAAGCGCGGAGTTAAATACTTCGTTGGTACGTTCTGCAGACAGCTCGGTATATATACTCACAGTACTGACAGATATGTGCAGGCGAACAAGAACTCATGACATTTGGACGTCGTCAGGGGTTGCTGGGGCTCTCACCTTTGCCATCACTCCCAGCAAGGATCCCCATGGTAAAGAATGCGGCGTATGAGTTGGCCCGCCGTCGTGCGCCGGTTGAAGAAGTGCTGCCAGCGGAAGAACAAGCGGCACCAACTTTGGAGGTGACGCCTACTCCTCTAACTTTTCCTTCGAGTTTCCCTCCGCGTACTTCAGCTTCTACACCGTCGACTCAAGCAGGTCAAGCAATTCAGCCAGATACAGAGCAAGAAGGTGGGAGCACCACTACTAGTATGGAGGATCCGGAATACGATGTACGCTCGGGTCATGAACGTGCCGACGAGTCGAAGAGTGAAAGAGACGATTTCAACGGGATTGATGAGTTTGATGGAGAGAACTTCATGGATGCGCTACGTGGGGAGAAGCTGTTCGGGTCAGTTGCTGTAGATGATGTGAATCTGTGCGATGAAGCCGAAGATGACAACGACAGTATTGGTTGTGACTTCGATGATGAGCTGGATGTGCCTGTGTCGCCACGAGAGGACTACGAAAGCGAAGTAGAGTCTGACAGCGACTGTGAGGAGGACAGTGAGCTATTTGTGCAAGCCGACGAAGACATGCGGCGCTTGGGAGCTTCTGGGTGGAACATTTATGACGAGCAAAATTCTGGTAAGTCGGTCGTCTACAGAATAACGCTTTTGATTCTTTTCTAACTCTGTATTATATTGAAAACAGGTGATTTGACTCTTGAAGCCGCGCAGTTGTACGACGGAAACTGGGGGCCAACTAGATCTGCAGCAGCATTTGCAGAGTCCTCATTAGGAATGTTTTTCTACTTTCTTCCCAAGAAGCTCTGGTTTGTGATTCAGAAGGAGACGAATTTGTATCGCGAGGCTTGCATCCCGCTTGTCGCACGTCAGCAACGAGAGAAGCAGCTTCAAGCACAAGCAAAGGATCCCCAAAAGAAGGTCGACTCTGTCCAAGAGATTGAAGAGACGCTACGGCGAGTAAAACCTATCCAGAATTATCCACGTGATTGGTCTCCTCGTTGCTCGAACCCTTTGTTCTCATACGGATGGCCTGGAAAAACACTGGTCTACTCGAGAAGATGGCGCAGTCCCTCGTGGAACGTTCTCCAGGTTTATGAAGAGAGACAGATTCAAGATGATCACTCGTTACCTGCATTTCGCAAGTAACAACGCTGCAGATGCGTCTAAGGACAATGCATGGAAAGTCAGACCGGTACTGCAGGTACTCGAGAAAACATTTCGGCGTGGCTACCGGTTGGGGCCGCGAATCAGTTTTGACGAAGGCACCATTCCAAACAGGAGCAAGTTCAATCCGGTGCGCGTCTACAACAAGGACAAACCGCACAAGTACGGGACTAAGGTTTACATGACGTGTTGCGCGGAGACTGGCTACTGTTCTCGGTACGTTGATACAGAATTGCTAGTAGTATCAGTAGTATCGGGGTGTTTCTCAGTATCATACAGATTGCCAATTCCTCTTTTCACATAATACGAGTGTAGTCACTTACAATATGCTGTATCTTCTTCTGTATGCTACAGAATTGAAGTTTATCTCGGCGCGGCTAACAATCCAGCGCCAGCAAAGGGAACGGCACAGAAGGCAGTTATACGAAACGTGAACAAAGCCCTCGAAGGACAACCCGCAAAGCGACTTGTTGTCGCTGACAACTTCTACAGCTCGTGTGCACTGGTACTGGATTTACTTCGGAGGGGTTACTACTACGTGGGAACGCACCGCAACGACAGATTGGGATGGCCAGTCAACTTTGCGTTCACACAGAAAACGCGGCCCAAGCGTATGCCCCGAGGGACGTATCGCGTCGCTCAAGCCAAAGACTTCCCTGAGCTCATTGCTGTGTCCTGGATGGACTCGAAACCTGTGTCTATGATTGCGACTGGATGTGCAACGACGATGACTAGTGTGAGACGCCGAGTGAAGGGTGAGAGTGTTCGTGCAGACGTACCATGTCCCCAGCTGGTTGCCGATTATCATACTGGTATGGGGGGTGTCGACCAGCACGACCAGCTGCGACTGCAGCGATATTCGATACAGCGATGTGTGGCTTTCAAAAAATATTACCGCCAGTTATTCTTGGGGTTTGTTGACATGGAGATTGTCAATGGGTTCATCCTGCACAAACTCATCTTGAAGAAAAAGGGAGAACGCATACCGACGCACGCAGAGTACATGCGAAGACTGCAAACGGAGCTTTTAGCAACAACAGAAGCCACATTGCGTGCAAACACCAACGCAGAGGATTTGATTACGGAGCCAATTCGAACGCAGCCACACGCCCTGCAGAATACGAACGACATGTATGATGGAAATGGGAAGAACAAACGTCGTCAGCACCTTTGCAAGGTATGCTCGGCAATGGCGACGCCCCAAACGAAAAGCTTTGAAAGCAGCTACTTCTGCCCCCAGTGCACTCAATCCCACGCCGGCTACGTACCTCTATGTAATCGCGTTCGGAGAGAGGATAGCGGCAACACGCTCACGTGCAGCCAGATTTGGCACCAGGTCTGGCGAAACGGAACTGCGATTCCAGCACACCTGAAGAAGCCCATACGCTTTCGCAAGCGTAAGCGCGCTGACGAAGAGAAAGAAGACAGTAGTTAGCTAGTTAGTAGTCAAATCAATAGACTGTTCGCTCACCAAACATTTCGGCCAGTTCAAGCCTAGTTCTTCTTCTACTCTTGCTACCTAGAACTGGCCGAAAATTTGGTGAGCGAACTTCTGCCGTGTAGCGATGAAGCTCCGGCGGCCATCCAAAATGGCGCGAAGCCGCCAATCTCACTTATCGTTTTGGAGGGGAAATACCTTACAGAAGACATTGCGATCTTTTTTTATTCTGCAGTAGCCAATCAAAACCCCAGATAATAGCGTATGGTGGATACATTGCGAAGTTTTTGTCCGTAGAAACGGCTTTTTCAGATGTCTTTGCAGTGTCCACCTCACATGATTCGCGAGACAGCTACCATTAGATAAATTGTTGCATTCTTCTGTCAATAGTTTAATCAAGATAAACCTTTATTCTGTATAATACAGAATAAAACCCCGCTTTAAAAGGGTTAACCAAAACCCACCAGCAGCCCTTGTTTGAAATAATTGTAGCCCTCGTTCGAAGAATTTTGCTTGCCTCCTTACAGGTTATTTCTGCTTTTGGTTTCTTTTGGCTAATTGTGAACACGCACTGCTGCATCCTTTCCCGTGCTCACCTCCACTCACGCAAGGGTGAACATTTGTAATGGTCCGATGCTTGCCGATCAAACCTCTCGTCCTACCAGCGGCCACGAATGCAGACGATGTGGCTACGAACCTAGAAGCGGGTATCGAGGAAGGGAAACCAGATTCGACGGTGCCCGCAAAGGAGGTTCCTGGTACAACCTCGACCAGCCCGAGCAAATTAAAAAGTGTCGGTCGGCTGAACAGAAATGAGAGCATTAAAGCAGACACCCAGCAACATCCTAATGTGCTACGACGGACGAACACATGGGCTCGCTCAACGGGCAGCTTGTTAAGGATGGCATCAGAAAATGCTACCATTAACGTACTGCGAACATCGCTGTTTGAAATGCACGATCGAATGAGTTACCGCTGGGTGCTGCATCCGCAGTCTCCTTTCAAAGCATTTTGGGATCTTCTCAGTGCAGCTATCGTCGTTTACTACTCGTGGATTATCCCGTTCATGTTGTGCTTCTACTGGTACGAGCCGTCTACAAGTTCTAGGACTTTCATGAAAGTCCTGGATGTCTGGGGCTTTGCCGACATTGCGCTTCGATTTCGCACTGGTTACATTGAATACGGCGCTGTTGTAATGAACCCTCGCAAAATTCGACAAGCCTACACCCGCTCTGTCTGGTTTCCAATTGATCTAGCTTCTTCAATTCCTTTCGAATACTTTGTTAAAGACACCGCCAGCGTATCGACAAGAAAAACCTTCAAAATGATCAAGTACATCAAGCTACCGCGGTTGCTTCGTTTGGGGCGCTTCGTTAAGTATCTTAAGCGGTACAAGCGATACTCAAGCCTCACAATCTCGCTCAACGCAATGATTTTCTCTGGTCATGTAGCAGGCTGTTTATGGGTGGCCATACTTAAACCGTGTGCCGACGCCATTGAAGCCACCCGATCGCACTGCCAAGATGGTGGTGAGATGGATGTCTATTGGGTCGCCTTTCACCATGGAATAGTATCCTTGTTGGGCGTATCTGCTACTCATGTAGAAGCCAACGACCGGTTTCTTAGCGGAGGATACAATCATATCGCTAGTGACGACTTGAACAGCACTATCTACCTATGGTCCAGTGCAGTATCTGTCTACGGTGCCATCGTGTCCGCCATTCTCTTCGGTACTATCATCGGATTAGTTCAAAGGTACCTAAGTACATGTATATTTCAATGCTGGAAATATCACCATCGCGACTCTAATTTGTGTGTATTTTTGCCACAATAGCTGGAACAGGGCCGAAAACGCCTTCCGAAAGAAAATGGACCATGTGACCCACGAGATGGATGCGCTAAGTTTGCCAAAACCATTACGAGTACGAAGTATCTCTAAATTTCACATTAGCTTCGCTAACAGGTATTGTGTTTGAATTTGGGCAGGCTCGAGTGACAGCGTATTACGACTACCTCTGGTTAAATGTGCGATCACTTTGAGCGAGAGCTTTATCTGTTTTGTCTCTTACAATGCAATTTGTTTCAACGCACTCGGCAGAATCGAGCACTGTCGGAGCAACTGAATTTGCTGCATGACCCAGGAATGTCAATGACACTGCGCCGACAAATTGCCATTTACCTGTTTAAGGACAATCTCTTAAAGATCCCGTTCTTTCAGCTAGCCACCGACGCTGTACTGGGTATGATCTGTATGCAGCTGCATCAGGTCATCTACATGCCCGACGATTTCATTATCCAAGAAGGTGAAATTGGTAAGGAGCTTTTTATGATCGTGAAAGGCATCGTGCGTGTGCTGCCTCCAAATGGCTGCAAGAAACCAGAAGCCGAGACCATCATCCTGCTTAGTGAAGGCGACTTTTTCGGCGAGATCGGCGTGGTCATGGAGGTTGAACGAACTCGCAGCGTGAAAGCCGAATGTATGGCAGAGCTCTGTGTTCTAGCTCGAGAGGGTTTTGACAAAATCCTGGTAGAGTTTCCAGAGTTCGCAACCGCAATGAAAAAGCTAATCGTGAAACGGGTTGGCGAAATGTGGAAGGATGACGGCCCAGAGCGCATGGAGAAGATGACGGCACTCGCGGACGCCAAGATGAAGAAAACCATTCAGACATACAAGAACATGGATAAGTTTCGTAACAAAACTCGTGCTCTGGCAACCTTCCGTCCGCGCTTGTCGAATATCCTCAGCGCAACGGGAAACCTTACACCAGTCGAAATCCGAGGAGATGAAGGGAGCGGGCTAACGAAAAATGAGATTGTAGCTGCTGCCGCTGCTGCCGCGGCTGAGGTTGCCACAACGCCCACCACTCCGGACAAGCCTCCACTCGATGCGATAACGGAAGACGGAGTCGACGAGAGGAAAACATCATCTACCACCTCAATACTGGGTGTGGCAGCGTCGGGGAACATTTACTCTCCTGGTAGACCCAGCACTGACGCATTGGAGCTAACCGATCGAAGATCGCAAGGTGCTGTGGCTTCCATTCCGTCAACGCGTCCTTCTCCACTTCAATTGCAGCAACTAGAAATGCAGTTGCGAGTCGTCGAGCAGAAGATGGAGTCGAGCTGGACCGCAAGCTTGAGGAGATTCTGCGTCATTTTGTCTCTTCTCCCTAAGCAAATACCGTACATGTTGTACTCGCCTCCGTCGTGAAGTTAATAGTGTGCTATAATATGCTATTAATATTATAAATATCGTGTCAAACTTGCTCAACAGCTGATTGAAGTTTCCTTCGCTGTCAAGTCGTGCAAGGATGACTGGAGGTGCATAAGGATGGCGCCACAATCCCAAGCTCAGCATGCCCCTCCGATCTTTCGGACAGTCGTGGCACGGCACCGCCCCGACACATCCGCTGCACCACAAACTTGGAGCGATGTAAGCTTGTAACTTACCTGTGAGAAGCTCGGTCCTAGAATCTAGGTTTTTTATACGGCGTAGGGTATCCATAAGGCCAGTTTGGCGGCACCCCACTCGTCTCCGATACCGGTATTAATAGCCGCTCTACCGGTAGGGGAAATTGTAAAATACTACCACGAGGTACTACGCACACTACCTCCGACGAGAAAATGGACTTCCTTGAAGGTTATCAAGTTTGTTTTTTACAATTCTAAACACCAATTGACGTGACTTGAATGTCCGTGTGTGTCGTTTCGGCGCATGATCGCTTTAGTTTACAAGAATACAAGATGCATGATACCAGTATTCTGCTCGCGAAGGGCGATGCCGCGACTTCCTTCTGTGGCCAGCAACGGCGACATCGACCTAGAGGCTTTCTGCCGGGCTCTACCCAAAGCTTGAAGACCAAATTCAAAGAGTACAAGTTTCAGCACGGTTCTCGTTTTTTGAAAGCCTTGCCATTGCCAATGGCAATGCCATGTGTCGTCCTGATACGGGTGGCACATGGAGGCTGGATTGTAAGCAGCTGAAGTTCAGCCTGAGCAGCCACAGCGTGACGGGACGGAGTACATTGCAAAGTGGCGTCCATGACGACCTGGTCATCTGCTTCTAAACAATGGATTAAATAACCTGAGTGCCACACTGTGGAGTCTGGCGTAGCTTTGGTTGCCCCATCGTGCTGCCTTTTCCTGTGCGCTGTTGTAAGGCAAGATCCCAGCGTGCATAGTCCACTCGCGGCGGATTTTGAACGCCCACGCCAGTCGCTGGCTATTTGCAATTTCTGTGGTCGGTCGGTGGTGCCGCGCCAACAACAGTTCACGCCGCTGTAAATGTACGGTTGGCACTCCGTGCGTTTTACATGTGAGTTTTCCGTTTCTTCTTACCTGGAGCAGTAGAGGCTGTGGGTGCCGCTATTGCGATCTTGCCTATTTCTGTAAATTACTATTCTTTAAATGCAAAAATAGTTTGCTATGAATGCCGTTAGGGCTCGGTTACATGGCGAGGCGGTTTTCTTTCCAGATTGCCTATTATTATCAACATTAATGTGCTGGAAAAATTGCATCCCGACGCGACACCCCAGGTCCCGTCCCGGCTACGCCCCTTACGTTTCTGCCCCTCGGCAGAGGACCGAAAATTCCTCCAGAAGGCCGGTCATTCCGCGATCGAGTGTGTTCGAGCGACAGCGGCCGGCACTCTCCATACAAAGCGCCAGTTGTTTCGTCTCTCTACTTCTGTAGATGCAGCGTCAGCGGATCACGCTCTTTTCGGCCGAAGACGCCGACGCCATGGCAGTCCGCGAGCGTGGCAGCATGAGACTAGGCTCTAGTCGAGGGCCGGGGCGCTTCGACAAGCGCGCACAGTCGTACAGCTTGCGCCCTAGTACGACCGTGTACGGCCAAGAAAACGAGGATTACTTCGACGGCTCGGCCAGCTACTCGTCCGTGACTGAGCGTAGCGGCACCGGAAGCTTCGCTCCCAACCGCACGCGACTTAGTGTATCCCCCGACCTCAGCAGCGCCTTCGAGGACATCTTTGAGACGGACTGGGAAGGCTACATCTGGAAACAGGGTCACGTTGTACGCTCGTGGCGCTACCGCTACGCTGTGCTTTCAGGCACGACCTTCAGCTACTACGTAAGCAAGGACGTGGCCAAGCTGGACACGGAGAAGTTCCGTGGCCGCGTCACGGTTACGGGTGCCTCACGAGATCCCAACCGCTCAAACGGCGTGCTCATCACGACGACTATTAACAAAATATTTGCCATGTACACACGCTCAAGCATTGAGTGCGAAATCTGGATCAAGATGCTGCAACAGACAGTACAGAACGGCAGCAACCAGAAACCGGGTCAGAGTTTCAGTGGCGCCTCTAATGGACGCGACTCGGATCTCCAGAGTGGACGTGCAAGCCAGTGGAATCCCGCTGCTAGTGGGAACTTGCCCTTCTCGGCGAGTAGTATTCTATCACAAACTGTCCGATCGTCAGGAGACTGGAAGGCGCGCAATTTGGCGACAGTCAAGCAATTCTACTCCATGTGGACGACGCAATTCCTTGAACAGACGGGCGTGGATGACTCAGCGGCAAACCTCATCTCACTCTTTCCCATCTGTTCGCCCGAGATGATCGTCTCGGTCAGCTACCCGTGCGAGTTTCTACCGTCCACTAAGTTTTACGGACGAGAAGGACTTGTCGACGTGGTGCTGGGTTTCTCACGCTTCGTGTTGTTCAAGAGATTCGCAGTCTCCCGCTACATGACGACCAAGCAGCCCAATGTGCTTCAGGTACTGGCTGCTGGTACCATCTGGAATAAATCGCTCAAGCGCGAGTTCACGTTCACTACACGCGACGAGATTCAGCTGAGTCCTGGCGGTCGTGTGCTCAGTCTTCAGATGCAGATTGAAGTCGACATTGCCGCGTTTCAGATGTCGGACGCCGAACGGAAGGCGGCCAAGGCGGAACGTGCGTTCCAGGCCTCAACGTCGAAGCGTGTGCTGTCTCTCTCGATCCAACACTTCCACGTGAACCGTGTCCTGGGCAAGGGAACTTTCGGCACGGTTGTGCTGGCTGAACGAAAGAACACGGGCGAAATCTTCGCAGTGAAGATCCTGGAAAAGAACTCCATGTCCAACTACGACAAGCTGCGCACCAAGACTGAGATGCGCATCCTGCGTGACGTGCATCATCCGTTCATTGCCCCGCTGCGGTTTTCGTTCCAGAGCCAATCGCGTGTGTTTCTAGGCATGGACTACTACCCGGGTGGCAGTCTGTACACCCACATGAACCGCTTCTCCAACAACAAGGAACATCGCGTCAAGATCCCGCTTGACCTGGACCGCGTCAAGTTCTATGCTGCTCAGATCGTGCTGGCGTTGTCTCATCTACACGCCTGCGACATTGTGTACCGTGATCTGAAGCCTGATAACATCATGCTTGACGTAGACGGCAACGTTGCGCTCGTCGACTTCGGTCTCTCGAAAACAAATGTGAACCAGATGTCAGGTGCTCGCACGATGGCTGGATCCCCAGCGTACACGGCCCCTGAATTACTAAAGCCGAAGCGCTCGCGCGACTATGGCAAGGCTGTGGATTGGTGGTGTCTGGGTATCCTGCTGTACGAGATGTTGCTTGCCAAGCGCCCGTTCCATCACCTGAACGTGTCGGTGCTGTACAAGCTCATCGAGAAGGAGCCTGTGAAGTTCCCGTCCAAATGTGGTATTCACCCGGACGCCCGAAGCCTGATCTTGGGCTTGCTGGAGAAGGACCCGAACAAACGTCTCGGTGCTCGTCAGACCAGCGACATCCTCACGCATCCATTTTTCAGTGAGGTTCGATGGAACATGGTTCTTCGCAAGAAGATCACCCCTCCATGGGTACCGGCACCCATGTCGATGGAGGAGGAGCGCATGAAGAGCCCCGACATTAACTTTGACAAGTATCTGGCCTCCAAGACGGCCTCCACGGGCAACTTTTTCAGCATTATCTTCCCGTGGAAACACACCCACACTCGCCACCGCCGAGCGAGATCAGAAATGGACTACGACTCGTTCGGCAAATTCAGCTACGTGAGCGACACGTCTAACTCGTTCCTTGTGGACGAAGACGAGATGCTTGACGCGGCTTTCACGGGCCGGCGCAGCATTCAAGTGCATACTTTGGCAGGTGAAGCCTGAACCCACTGAACAAAAGACTGCGCCGTAGTTGTACCAGCAGATGCACGTAGAACTCTACTAAAGGTAAATTATTTTTTTGACTACGCGTTTACCTGTTGCGTAATGTGCAAACAACCGCAATAGGATTCTCACTTGTGAAATTTCTGGTACTTCAAGCAGACCATAGCTGCATTACGCCCGCACGCTCCCATAACACCGCCGCCAGGGTGCGTGCCTGCTGAGCAAAAGTACAAACCGTCGATCGGGGATCGGTAGCTCGAATTGCCAGGCATCGGTCTCATCCAGAAGAGCTACAGAAAGCAAACACAACGTCAGTTACCTCCTGTTTTTACTCGCGCAACATCAAGTAGAGTTTACCTGGTCCAAGCCCATGGCTCCGTGAAAAATGTTTCCTCTCGGAAGCGAGAATACTCGCTCAAGATCTGGCGGCTACACGATGCAAAAAACATGAGTAATTGAGATTTAGGCTGGTGGATCCGAGCTACACGCACCGTGAGCATCTCATAGTCGATTATCGAATTCGTGAAGCCTGGCGCATACTCGTCGATTACCGAGAAAACTTGGCTCGCGAAACGCTCCTTTTTCCCTGGCTCACTCCACTTTCCATCCTGGACGGCGAAGGCACGCACGCCACCGTTATTACCTGTCATCAGCAGTACAAGCTCTATGTATGGCGTGGAGAGTGGATATTTACCTTTGGTTCGTACGGCGTGTACTGCACGAACAATAGAGCGATGTGCTTTCCTAGGAATTATGTCGGAAGACGGTGTTGGTTCTTACAGACATTAGGAAATGGCTCATGCAATTTTACCTGGTGGAGCAATCGTTGGGTCCAATGATGTCGGGATATTCATCTCGATAACAGGCCTTTTCGAACAAATTCCACGTTGGGCGTCCAAATATGCATCTTCAATCTACAGTATTGGTGCCGTTCTCACTATTTGTTCATCTCAGTTCATCGCTGTGCAACATACCTGGCCCAGAGAGTCTTCAAAATGGATCGTTCCATAATGGTTCGGCATCGGCACGTTTCCATCTCCTCCATTGGGGAAGCACGAAAAATTAGGCAGTCTGTCAAGCGCCACGTTGATCTGGAAACCATTGTCGCAAACAGAAATCTAAGCACTCGCAGTGGCAAAAAAATGATGGTTAGACATACAGTACCTTCGTTGAAGCTGACTTGCTGTTCCAGTTTCGCTTAAAATGCGTGACAACATCCTCTGGTAAGTCTCTTGGATCAAGTAGATCAAGCATGGTCGTGGCAGGACTCGCGTTCGATAGAATACAGTCCGATTCGACCACGTCTCCACTTTCTAGACAAACACCTCGAGCTTTTCCATCTTGCACACTAATGGACTTGACAGGGCTGCTCACATGAATCTCGGCGCCCGCTTCAGTTGCAGCTTTCGCGATAGCTACGGAAACCCCACCCATTCCGCCTTTTACATGCCCCCAAGCGCCCTTGATACCGTTCACTTCTCCCATGACGTGGTGGAAGAGAATGTAAGCTGATCCAGGAGTTGAAGGAGAAACCTTCGCAGCAGAAATAATTGTTACGGGGCAAGCAAAACGAACCTAGCTACAGTGCTACCCACCTTTGCGCCGATAATGGCGTCAGTAGCCAGCGTGGCCTTCAGAACATCCGACTCGAACCATTTGTCTAGAATCTTAGTAGCAGGAGCCGTCATAAATTCCACGAAAGTAGTCAACTCGCTTCCAAGCTTGCCGCAGCGATAGCCTAAGTGCGCCATAGCCTTTGCTGCTTCTAGACGCCGGCTAGGTCGTCGGAAACCGCAATGTTATATTACGCCACGAATATTGTTTTCAATAAAGCGATTTCTCACCTTAGAGAAGAAGCCGAGTCAAAAGCAGTGTGGAGATCTGGCGGGGCCTAGCACACCATTCCAGTTAGCACGCAAGAAATAATACCGCTGAGATTTTGATATCAAAGCAACCTCATCGAGCATCGGCAAGAAGAAATCCACCATGTCCTGCGCAACAAGGCAACACTCAGTGAACCTTCAGATCACCATCAGCCGCAGCTTCAACAGCACCTCCAACATCTTGTTGTACACCGGATACGCTTTCGCATCCGCAGTTGAGAATTGAGCTGTATTCAGAAGAAAATATCAGACAAACTTCACTAGGAGCTGCTGCAATCCTCTGCAAGGGCTCACCTATACTTGCTTGCGTTTGCTGCATATCACTTCCGAGGATGAGGCTGCGACCGTCACGTGTCGGCGTAAACGACGACGGGTCTCGAACAAACACTACAGCCAACACAGCACGTGAGCATTTCACCATAATTTTATACCCGTATGCCTAAAGGCTCACCCTCTAGACCGTGCCGATGCAGATCCAGATCTTTGATAATTTGCGGCCGGAAGAGCGAGAACACGTATGACGCCCGCGAGAACTTAAACCCGGGGAAAATCTCCTCCGTCACCGCCGCACCGCCGACTAGATGTCTCTTTTCCAGTACACAGACGCTCTTGCCTGCCTAGAATCAGCAGCATGCATTAGCGTGGTGCGAATTCTCTAAAATCTACAGTAGAAACTCCGTCACCTTTGCCAGATACGATGCAGCTACAAGCCCATTGTGGCCCCCGCCCACAACGATGGCGTCCCTATCCACGATAGCGAGTAAATGACTGCCCGACTGTCTTTATGTAGCCAACAACCTTACCATTTCTTTCGAAGTAGCGCGGTGGGGGGCTTCATAATTCCGAATGGGGAAGCTACTTTTTCTTGTCGCTTCAAAATGCGGAATAGCGATGGGAGGCACCAAGGTGGTCAATTAAACTTCAACATCAGAGTGATGGTCACAAGTCCGCATTGTTCGTCGCCATGTTTGAGGTGCAGATCGTGCAGCAGCGAAGAGCGGGTAGTGGGCTTCAAGCGCTGCGTCGACGTTTCTCCATGGTGCTGAGCGATCAATGCTTGACCATTACTGCGAAATCATCATCATCATCACCCAGCACTGAGGCTGTGCTGAGCATCTTGCACAACGACATAAAGACTGTGCGGGTTCGAGGGAGACTGCTGCGGGTTGTAAGGGACGGTGGCGACGCGCTTACGTAATTGCGGCAGTGCGGACCAGAGTACTAAAGTCAAAATATGACTGATTTCCGTCTTGGTGCTGTAGAGTCCGTCTGCGCGACAAAATAAAGACACTACGGGCAGCCGAGACCATGTTGGAGACCTGGGGTACGTTAATATTGGCATAGATAAGCCCAAAACGTGGAAATGCTGAGTATTAAATTCAGGCATCGATCCACTTGTTGAAGACTCCGAGATGTCTACAGCCGAGCCAGAGGCCATTGGGATGGAAGGCCTCGTAAAGTACTACGTCAACGACCCGAACTTTCGACAGCTAGTGCACGAGATTCATGATCACATTGACTCAGTTGTGGCAAGTGAGACGTTGAGCTATGAGGCTACGATGCACGCGAATGGTGACGAACTATGAACGATGGAAGCTTCATTCTTACAATTTCTGTAGTGAGTTGATCTTGTATCATGCAAATGGTACACATGATTCTTGAAATCATGGCAGCTATTGTGTCAAGTCCGGATGCTCTGATAACGCAACACTAGATACCATTCTCCTCCTGAGAACAATGCTCCATTAGCCGAGCTTTGACAGCGTTCAAAATGGAGAGCATTGCGGTAGATTCCTCGTGGTCTTGTCGAACTATTGCAACTTGGAGCATCACGGGAAGATGCATGATGGCATCTTCTTCTTCTGCGGCAACCGTGTCTCCATAATTCATTTTGTGGTAGTTGAAGGCGGCATCGCGGTATTTCTCATACAACTCCAAGCTCTCAGGGTCTTCAAACCCATAAGAGGCGACAGTTCGTTGCTGCTCACCGATGCCGCCACCGACTCCAGCATTCACGGCCGCATTTTCTTGACACATTCGCTCATGAGCTTCCCGAATTTCCTCTTCTTCAACTCCGTATGCCAATGCAAGGATCAGAAAGACGGAGTATTTCCGCTTGAGATGATCCGCGATACGGAAGAAGAAGCGTGGGCCGCAGCGTGGGACATCATCAGCAAGGTATCGCCGGAAGCAATCGAGCAGGCGGAGAACAATTCGTGCACACGGCTAACCTTCTCGTACACTAGCAAGGCCATCTGCGGGTGGGTTACTTGGGCTACCAGCTTCTCCATCGCCACTATCCGCCGGATTTCAGACTCGGCCTTTTCCTTCTCACCCGAGAGGACGCGGTTGCACCAGATTTCACTTTGAAGTAGTGTCACCTTGGAATCTTGTCCTGGAGATACCCAGCACTTAGTGGACACTGTCGTTCCATCATTAGCTGCTAAATCTGTGTCTTCTTTGCTCTGGTTGCTTCGTGAACTGTTGACGTGTGCTTCTCGTTTCGTTGACAGGATGTGCCGAATCGCTTTCGTCCACAACTCGAACGTGCTTTGGTTGTATGAACCGAACTCCAGAATGCAGTGTGTGCTTGCATTCGGGTTGTTTACAGCAAGAGTATCCACTTTACTACCAGAGGAGACCAGTAAACTCTGCCGTAGCTCTTCGTTTAGCCACTATACCAGTTAAATAACATTTTTTTAGAGAATACATTTTGAGCGGGTAAACTAGCGAGACTTACCTCGTCCAACTCGTCTGTTTCCAATAACTTGCGGCGGAAAAGACGCAAGTTGCCGTCTTGATCGTGCAGCGCAGAGGATCCTTCAACCACATCGACTTTCATGTCGCCTAGAAGCATCATGTGGTGCAGCTCAATTATCTATATCGCCGTGCAGATACAGCATAGCTCGTTGGTATATATAATACTTAAGTAGCCTTTAAGTTAAAGCTGTCAAAGCACCTTGTCGGGTTTGAGTCCCTGCTCCCATCGCTCGCGACTGGAGAACATTAGGATGCTGTCTTCTTGCAGCGACACAAAATACGGTGCCCAGCCACTGATGAAGAACATGTTGCGCTCCAGTACCAGCAACGTGTCGTTCAGCGTTTGCTATTCACTCGGCCAGACGGTCAATGTCATGAGTCGTCAGATCTTCGGAGCACTCACGGGATCGCAGTCAACCGACCCACCTTGTAAATAATGGCCGTCTTCGCCCTTCCCAAGCTTTTTGGTGTCCACGGCGTTTCTCGAGTCTTGTCGTCCAGAATAATGGAAGCGTTGTTTCCATCGTGCGTCAGAGCGTCATTGGCGGTTTGTCCTTTGCTGAGCAGCGTCTTCAGTAGCGTCGGCGGCGCCTTCCTCGCTGTATTTTGAGCACGGTTATTACCTCTCGTCACCCCACTCATACTCGCAGCAACGGCAGGGCCTCTCTTGCAGGTGACCGTTCACAACCTTGTTCTGAGGGTCGGACTATGTACATATTATGGTTTTGCCATACTATCTCATAGGGTTGAAGAAGCAGCTAACGTTCAATGCATTATCGAATTATTCAGCTGGAAGGCACAAGGCGGACCTGAAGGCTCGACAGTGGCTGGTGCAGACTCGTGTCGTCCATGCGTCGCACTGCAAGTGAGCGCCACGCCATTGGCAGAAATCCGCGCACGGGTACGGTGACGCGTCCGGGGATGCCACGACGCTGGTCCAAGGACGACGTGCTTCAGAGCCCACCGTCCTCGGCATATGACCAGCTGCGCGTGAGCGGCTTTCCGCCTGTCAAGCTTGGTAGTTGGCACCGCTACCGCTCGCTGTCGCAGGAGTTCGATGATGTGTTCAAGCCCGACTCTTCATCCATTGCACGTGAGCCTGCGGTACGAAGGTCTCCGATAATGGAGCTGCTCGATCGGCTGAAGTGGCATGATTAATCGGTAGTTGCTGTTGATGATTGGTGCAGAAATTTCACGTGGGCATTGGGATCAAGCAGATCTTGAGGCCGACGACAGCGCGTGCACGCAAGACGAAAATTATTTGTGCCATTGGGCCAGCGTCGTGGTCTGTGGACATGTTGGGTGAGAAAATTTTCTCGATTGAAATGCAATCGCAGTACAAAGATCTGATGTTGTGGGATTTTGCGTATTGTAGGACAACTTTTAGATGCTGGTATGAATGTGGCGAGACTGAATTTCTCCCACGGAGACCACGAATTGCATCAGAGGAGTCTGTCGAATCTGAGAGAAGCGATGGCTGCTCGACCCGGTTGTCATTGCGCTGTGCTGCTGGATACTAAGGGACCCGAAATCCGTAGTGGGTTTCTGAAAGGACACAAACCAGTTCAGCTAAAGGTGTGCTGTTCTCACGGCTTGGTTTACATGGGTACTTCTGCTAATGAGGAGTGATGTTACCGTTGATAGGCTGGACAGACGCTAGAAATTACTACAGACTATGGTGTGGAAGGTGACAGCTCTCGCATTGCCTGTACATATGAGCAGCTACCAACGTCTGTGACGGTGGGCTCCAAGATTCTGTGCGACGATGGAAGCCTGGTGATGACTGTACTGGAATGTCTACCCGAATCTATCATTGTACGAGTGCACAATGACCATCTTCTTGAGGAGAAGAAGAACATGAATCTGCCAGGTCTGTCAACTGTTTTATGATGCAACAATGCCCTTTTCTGGGTGATGTTAAAGTATGTACGTGTATGTGCAGGAGCGGCCATTCAGATACCGGGCATCACTGAGAAGGACGAGAATGATCTACTGAACTTTGCCATCCCTAATGGAGTGGACATTGTGTCGGGGTCGTTTGTACGCTCTGCTGCCAATGTTCGAGCGATCCGTGAGTGTCTCGGTGAAGCAGGTCGTCGCATTCGCGTGCATGCAAAAATTGAAAGCCAGGAGGCGCTGCAGAATATTGACGAGATCATTGCTGAGGCTGATGGCATCCACGTGAGTCGTGGCGATCTCGGCATGGAGTTGTCACCTGAACGGGTGTTTTTGGCTCAGAAGTTGATCATCGGCAAGGCGAATCGTGCTGGCAAACCCGTCGTCACCTCCACACAGATGCTGCAGTCCATGACCAAGAAGATAATTCCATCTAATGCGGAGTGTACCGACGTGGCAAACGCAGTGCTAGATGGCACAGATGCCATGATGTTATCAGCAGAAACTGCCAAGGGCATGTACCCGAGAGAAGCCGTTGAAACGATGGCCAAGATTTGTGTTGAAGCAGAACAAGCGCTAGATTACGCGGAGGTATATCGTCTGCATCGGGCAGCAAACAGCAAGCACGTGAGCATGTACGAATCAGTCGCCAGTTCAGCTGTTGAAATTTCTCTCGATATGGGCGTCAAACTGATTATTTCAATCACCGACACGGGCTCCAGTACCAAGTTACTGGCAAAATATCGTCCGAAAGCTAACATATTGGCTGTCACATTCTCCACGTTAACGGCACGACAGCTCTCTGGAGTCTCGAGGTAAGCTCACTTCTTTGCACCAAGTAGATTCCTGCACTAAGAAACTCCTTACCGGAAATGCCACAGAGGAGTAACAGCGCTGCTAGTGGAGTCAATGGCAGGAATAGAGGATATCACGCTGAAAGCTATCGCGTATGCAAAGGAGCGGGGATTGATTGAGAGTGGTGAAATCGTCATCTTGGTTCACGGACTAGACGACACTATATCGGCCTCCACCAACGTGGTCAAGGTGATCGAAGTGGCCAAGAAGGGCTACACGAGTCCAAAGAACAGTTTCGTGGGTGGTCTCCACGCTCCCTTCACGTAATTCGAAAATGCGAAGTGTACTTTAGAACCGAAGAAGAAAACTGTAGTATTTCCGAGGGAACAACAAATTAAATCAAAACTCCAGGTGCTTACAGTTTCCTGTACACGGCAATCTATGTGAGTGAGGCTCTTACTAATAATCTACTCTATTCATGGGGTAGGCGCGGGATTGGAATGCGTAGGAAGTCTGAAGCTGGTATAACAGCTCGTCGTCCGAACGATTCTTGAGCCTCCAGGGCCAGGTGGAGTGTTGAGCGTGACTTGGCGTTAGCTGACCAATGCCGGAAGCGGTGACTGAAATGGGTCAGTGCCAGTAGCGATGCGTTCATTTTCCTGGCTGCGTACCCTGCCGTGCGAGCTGTTGAATGCCCACGATGCACCGCCTGCACCAGAGAACAATGGCCAGAGGAATAACGTCGTTAGATACATATTCAAAGTTACTGGCACGCGCCAATCAATTCGTACCTGTTTCACCATGTCATGACTTAATGTTGCTTCATGAACCAAAACCTGCCAGAAGAAAAACAGAGCCATCATCGTGAGTTTGCATTTCCTTCCCCACATTACAATTAGCAAAGAAATAGGCAAAGCTTACATCGCAGTTCTGTGCAATGTCAAACATCCGAGACGAGTCAGCGGAATCACCCAGGATGGCCACCTTACGTCCGCGTGCCTGCGGCCCGGTTACCTGAACATTGTGTTAGCTCTTTGCGTGGACACACCAGTGTAACATGTCTTGTCTTATCGACAAACCTCAGACGCGTAAAGCATTTCGCCATTAGGCAGCTCAACACTCCCTCCAAGCTTAAGTGTGCCGAATTTTGGTCCAGGCGGCAGACCTCGCTCACGTAGCGCATCTAAGTTTAATTTCCCGGGCACAGGGTATTCCTCCACGACGTAACTTTCAAGTATTCAACAAAGCACCACAACCGTGTCAAACACCACGCTTAACATAATAAAGATAATAGATTCCATACCCGAAGCTCGTGACTGTGTGTTTCAACGTTGCAGCCTTCACGATAAACTTCCCGTCATCCAGCACGCTCCATACGTCGCCATTCCCGTCCGACTCAGCATGCACCCACTCTCGCGTCAGACTCTAGAAATGCCACATCGATTCAGCCGCCACGTCAGCTACGTAATCCCAAAATTGACTTCATCACTCCAGCACTTACAGGATGTTTCGGTGCTTTGCGCATAAACTTCTCATGCGCTGACGTCTTGTTCAACATCTCCGGAGATACCAACTCGTGAACGGTAATTTTCAAGTTCGCCAGCCACGTACTGCTCGTCAAGAAGGCCGTGTTCAAGTACGAGAACAAACCCAAAGGGCCGTATACGTCGATTGGCCTCGGCGCTTTCTCCTTTGTCTGCGGGTCCTTGTAGTCGGCGTTATGGTTATCCAGCGTGCACAGGATTCCAGGCAGTCCGTACACGTGATCTCCGTGCAAATGCGTCACGAAAAATTTGGTCGTCAGCGGAACACGCACGACGATCTTGATAAGCTGCCGCAGACTTCCCTCGGCGCAGTCGAACATCCAATTACTGCGCGCCAGACGTAAGCATACTCCAGTCGGATTGCGTCGTACAGACGGAGAGCCCGCTCCAGTACCGAGAAACAGCACTTCGAAGCCTGTGAACGGAAGCTGTGGTGGCGGCACAAATAGCGTATTGCAACTGCGCATTGGCACCGTCTTGAGCAGAGCGTGGCGCTCGCTGATGCGCGTCAATGGCGCCAAGCGCCACGGAGCTCGAGCCATCGACGCCATCACAACGGGTACCGGTACTACGGCAGTAATTCGTGTGATGTACATCAAAGGACTGAAAGTCCTAATATAGGAGTCGCCTACAGTTTTTCGCGGGAAAAGGTCATTACCGTAGTGTCACCACAGTGATGGCCATGGGCGACGTGATGGACGGGAGCTCTGAGGGCTCGGACGAGTACGTGGACGGCTCGATCTACCGCGTCAAGCTGCACAACTTCTTGACCTACTCCGATGCCGAGTTCTACCCTGGACCACGTCTAAATCTGATCCTGGGACCCAATGGAACCGGTAAAAGTTCCATTGTCTGTGCACTCTGCGTCGGTTTGGCCGGCAGCACGAAGGTGCGTGTACCGTAGCCTACCATTCAGTGCGTTTAAGCGTTAATGATGTGATGTAATACGTTAAATATTCAGCTACTCGGTCGAGCTGACAAAGTGGGTCAGTTCGTACGCCACGAGAAGGAGAGCGGCTACACAGAGATCGAGCTGTTCTTCGAGCGCGGCAATAAGGTCATCAGACGCAACATCTTCAGGGACAACAAGAGCACGTGGCAGGTCAACGGCAAGGACTCGACGCTTAAGCACGTGGCGGGCATCATGGAGGCGGCCAGCATTCAGATCGACAACTTGTGCCAGTTCCTGCCGCAGGACAAAGTGGGCGAGTTCTCGCGGATGAACGCCGTACAGCTGCTCAAGGCCACAGAGAACGCCATCACGGACAGTGACTTGGCTACTAAACACGAGGAGATCATTGAGCTGCAGCACAGCATGTCAGACAAAGGACGGGTGTGGCTACAGCTTGTTGCTACTGAGTTTGCTGCAAAGTATGCTGATAGTTTTTACTTATTACAGGAACTGGAACATGCGCGTGCTGCGCTAGAGCTCAAGAAGAGCGAGAATGCTCAGAGACAGAAAGAGGTGGAGCGTATTGAGGACTACGAAGCTCGCATTGAGGAGGTACCGTGACTGGCTGTAGGTTGACGTATTTGACTACAGAAATTCATGCTTCGTGGTCGATATTGTGTACAGACGGCGGTGATGGAGAAGAAGTGTTTGTGGCTCGAGTTTGAGAAAGCGAAAGCTGAGGTTGAGGAGCTCAAGGAAGAGAAGCTACGATGCAAGGAAGCGATAAATGTGAGTAATTTACTTGCTAATACTCGAGGTAACTGTATTGATATGGTCGAATGTGTATGAACACAGAAAGAGCGCAAAGAGAAGATCGATCCTCTTGTAGAGCTCTTAAAGAAAGAGCAGATTAAACTGGAGGACGTGAAGGCGGAGTATGCGATGAATTTTTACAGTGCAGTCGCTACCATCAGTGTGCTAACCACATGTGTTCGTGTCAAAACCAGGAAGACGGAGGTGGATGGTGAGAAGAAAGAGCTTGTTGAGAGCATTCGAAAGGAGAAAAAGCACGTAAGTGGTGTCCAAGCTCACGACGCTACATGATCTTTCCCTTATTACCCGGACAATTGACATTATTTAATTTCTTTGTTTTATGCTGCAGATTGAGAACATGGAAGGCGCCCAGAGTCAAACTCTGTCAGATGTCAAGGAATTGCGCAACCAGCACAACTCGACTCGCCGGAAACTCGAGCGTCTAGAACGCGATGTGGCAGACGTTAGTATTGCCTGCTGTTCCTCTAGCTGTAAGTTGATGTTGTCTCATTGACTGTTTGATGAATGCGAATATTGTACAGTGGCACAAGGAGCGCGAGGGGATGGCGAATGATGACGACCTTAGAGAGCAAAAGGAGCAGCTGGAAAGGCAGCAGCGTGCAAAAGATATGGAGGTTCGTCCAAATAACGCCAGACACGCTAGAGGATATTTGCTAATACTTTGTGATATTCTTGCCGTTTTTTGCGCAGGAAACGGAAATCCGCAGTAAGAGAGAAGCGCTTTCTCGTGAGCTATCGTACATTGACAGTGAGCGCCGGAAGGTGACCAGCAAGCTCGAGAAACTAGACAATGAGGATGTACAGCGACGCCTTGCTCTCCAGAGGGCTGATCCCGACTGCATCCGTGCTGCGGATTGGGTGAAGAGTAACCAGCATCGGCTGAAGCGGAAAGTGTGGGGTCCTATTGCACTCGAGGTAAGCGACGTGCTTGTTCGAATCGCTATTTAGCGTCAGTATTTAATGCGGCTACTGCTACAGATGAAACTCAACGAGACTATGCACGCCAAGTACGTTGAAGATACTCTTCCCAAGTGGCTTTTGGGAGCACTGGTAGCCGAGAGCTACGAAGACTACAACACAATTCTTCGGGAGGTGAACAATGTCGATTCAGACCGCCGTATCAAAGCTTCGATTGTGATCGTGGAAAATGGCACATGCCACGCTGTTCATCGACCATACTCGCCAGGACAGATGGACGATTATTGCCAAAGGTATGGCATGAAAGGCTTCCTGGATGAGGTAGGCGGACTTGCATTTTATTATCAGCTGGCGTAGCTTATAAGCTGACTGTTTTCACTGCTTTTGCTGTGATTAAAGCTGGTGGCCGCGCCTGATATCGTTCACGAGGCTCTTCGAGCCCACGGAGGCCTCCATACTGTTATGGTTGGCTCTCAGCAGACGGAAGATATTATAAACAGAGGTGGGCAGATCTTCAATGACATCGCTTCATCCGAACGGAAGTCAGCATTCGTGACTCCATACAAGAAATACGTTACCTCAGGTACGCAGTGATGCGTATGCAGCTACCTGTTGAGGCCGGAACTTACTTGTGTGGGACGTATGCAGTTTCCAAGTACGGCAACCGTAACGTGACAACACGAACGAACGATCTGTTGAACCCTCGTTTGCTGGCTGCGTCGACTTCGAACGAAGACGAGAAAGCTGAAATGAAGAAAATTCTGGACGATTTAGAAGCCAGGGAGAGACGCATTCAAGTAGAGGTACAGCAACTGAAGGGCTATTACGCTCAGAGCGAATACTGGGAGTACTAAATAAGTGCGATGACATCCCAGATCACGGATCTTAAGGAGCAAGAGAAACAGTACGCCGAAGAGAAGCGAAAAGCCCAACATCGAATCACTGAAATTCGCTCCCAACGGAAGGCGATCATTCGTTTGGATGATAAGATTACCGAGGGGGATAACAAGATTTACTCGTTGAAGAGTGAACTGGCACAGGTAAGTACAAAACATGTATGCTAGGCAGCCAAATGATTGAGGAAATGCTCATCTTTTTTTTTATTGCAGGATGTCTCGTCAAAGGAGGAGGCATTGACGCGAAAACTTAAGAACCAAGCATCCAAGTAAGCTGGACAGTGGGCGTGTAACTGATGGTGGGTGTACGTACTGACATCACTTGTTGCCCCTCTCTAGACAAGCCCAGCAGATCAAACACTGTTTGGAGCTTTCGAGGAAATTGTTTAAGACTAGTGCTCGTGAGGTATGCCTATCACTGCAGCTCGGCACACAACAAGTTCGCGTGGAGTTCACGCAAAAACACTTGAAGCAAACTGAGACCACTCTTCGGTACAGTGTCGTTATCTAGATGCCATGCGCTGCATTGCACTTCTGACTCGACGCTGCTTTTCTAGGAACCTCAAGGAAGCCCACAAGCTCGCAAAAGATAACCTGCTGACTGTGGCGAGGAGGGCGATGGACGTGAAGCGCAAAGCAGAGGAAGAAGCTCCGTGGGATGACTACGAAAAGCGCTTTAGCCAGCTTCCAGACGATTTGGATGAGTTACTCGGCAAGATTGAAAACAACAAGGCAGCGCTGGAATGCTTCCGCGGCGACAGAACTATTCGCGAACTTTATGAACGCGTGCGTGACGAAATTCGGGATGACGAAGTCCATCTGGCTGACTTGGAAAGCTTCGTCACTGATGGCGAAGACAAGATCAACGGAATTAAGGTGAATTTCAACGATAGAGTGAAGAGATACATCACACATCTCACGTATTCTGGCACTTTTGCATTGTAGGGTAAATGGCACGCCGACCTCAAAGATGTGGTGGAACATATCGACACCTCGTTCAGGGAATTCTTCAAGGATATTGGCTGTGTTGGTGAAATCTTGCTGGATGACGAAGATCCGGTAAGTGAGCTGCTCGTGAACTGAACGAACGTCTCAGTGGTGTGACTTACGGATACTTGTTGCAATTGCTCAGGATGTTGCGAAGTGGGGCATCCAACGCCGCGCTCAGTTCCGTAAGAACACGAAGCTTTCGACAATGACTGCTGAGGAGCAATCTGGAGGAGTACGTTGTTCAGTTGTCAAGTCAGTATTATGATTCATAGATTATCTGACTCCGTTTTTGCTTGTGCAGGAAAAATCTGTCGGAACGATCATGTACCTGATGGCTCTCCAAAGCCTCACCAAGTGCCCATTCCGAGTGGTGGATGAAATTAACCAAGGCATGGACGTGTACAATGAGCGCAAGGTGTTCCAGCGGATCACCAAGTCTTCTTGTGGAAGCAAGTTGCCTCAGTACTTCCTCATCACACCAAAGCTCATCACGGGGCTTAATTATCACCGCGACACGAAGGTTATGGTCATTCTCAACGGGCCATACAACAATATCCAGCAAGAGTTGTGGGATCCTGACCGCTTCGTCGCCTGCGGTAAACAAGGGAAGCGTAAGGGCGACGGCGCAGTCAACGGCTCGTCCAAAAAGCGTATCCGAGCGTAAGTTCGACTCTACGTGGGTTCCCGTTGACTATTGCACGTCGAAAGACACTGTGAGTCCATGGCGCAGCGAGATGTTGCATGCTGCGGGGAGCAATATAATAGTCAAGGTTCTTCATTTTCTACGCCTTCCGTTTCATTATCGTGTGAATTCTTCGTCTGGCCCCCTATGAACATTGCGGAGCACAAAGCAGATTGATCGCACTCATACTCTACATGAAGTTGAATGCCGACTGTCCACCACTGAGGCGCGCACCATCAACACTAGGAGGTGCTGTCCCTGTAGCCATGTTTGCATTGCGCGGAGAGTTAGCAATTGCGAATAGATCCTTTCCAAAGTGGCCCAACGCCTTGTTGTGCTCATCCTGCGGCGGTTGCTGGTAATATTGCTGTTGCTGCGGTGGCTGCGGAGTGTACGATGGGTTTGACGACGTAGAGCTTCCTAGTGTGTCAAAACCGTCCAGCAGCTGTACAGTAAAGACCATTTGAGTTAGCTGAAGCTCACGAATGTTGCACGTGATAACGAGCCGAACGTACCGAAATTTCTTGCTGCGGTGCTGGGGCTGGTGGGGGCTGCATACGGACTGGAGAGCCTAGAAGATCAGCAGTAGCCTGAATTCCTTGAGCGGGTGGGCCAGCGGATGACTCGAGACTAAGTGAGCCAAATCCAAGGAGGTCCACTTCTTGATGAGGCTTCTGGGGGCTCCCACGCTGTGCTCGCACTGAGCTTGAACGTTTGGTGGTTGGCTGGGGGGCTTGGTCCGCTTCGTCAGCGTAGCCAAGCGCACGTAAAACATGTAAGGCTTTGGATACTACGCTAGGCTTCGCATCCTTTCGTAGCTGTGGTGATTAAAAATGCAAGACGTATGTTATCATAAAATGGTGAGCTCTGCCCGTGAGAAATTGCAACACGAACCTCCTCGACGACTTCGACGTTCTCTTCAAAGAACTCTTGATATGGCGCAGCACCCGGGGAGCCCAGCAGTGCCAGGACCACGTGCAGACCTTTCAAACGAACCTGCCAAGTTTCATCCTCCAGTTTGTCAAGCAAGATGTCGCCAATACTCTGTGCATCTAAAGTCTGCGCAAGGTCAACGAAGCGCTTCAGTCCATCCGCAGGCGGCGCGCGTGAGAGCCCCGCGGGTGCACACAAACTATCAATCATCGTGCGCTCATAGTCCCTGCGTTACAACAGTTGAACAGCAATGAGGCCACTTTGCTTAATTGTCATCACATTTTCCCATGGGTCGTACCTGCTGGTGTCACCTCCGCCGGTACCCTGTTGCGCGTTTGGCTGGTAGTAGCCGTGGTCAATTACCTGCGGGCCGGCACGCAACTCGTCGTTATCAGCCAAAGACGACGCCATCGACTTGTCCATATTACGACGATCCCACTTCTCTAACGCAGCCGTTCCCATCTTTTTCAATACTTCGGCCTTCTTACCCAGAGCTGTGGTCGGTGCATCACTAAGCGGCTGTCCATTGACGGGAAGACCCATGCTTCCGATGCGGTGGGTATTGGCACTGATCATTCGGTTAGTGTTGTCCATGTAAGACGGAGGGCCACCAGACTGGGAACCGCCAAAGCTTCCTCGTGCACTGCCTCCCATAGGATTCGGATTGTATGAGTTTCCAGCACCACCGCTAGCACCTCGGACAGCATTCGGGTTGTACGTGCCACTGTTAAACCCACCTAGACCTGACGTCGCACCGGTGTTGCTACTGCCAAATCCACCTGCTGGCTTGGGAAAGTTAAGAGCATGACCCACCAAGACCGTGGGGCGGTTGTCACGCCTCGTGGACGGGTTGTAGCGCGGTTCGTTTTCCATCGCAGGGTCCTTCTTCTGATAACCTGAACTGCTCCAGACACCTGCGCCCGCGGTCTTCGAAGCTAAGCCAGTACCCGACGAGGATGACCACGAGTTAAAGCCACTAGCATGTTGCTGTTGCGGTGGCGCATTCTGGCCATATCCACCCTGTGGTCCGTTCTGGTTGTAGCCGAATCCGCCCGAGTTACCGGCACTCTGTCCATAGCTGCTATTACCCCCGTAGCTACTGTTACCGGAAGCGCCATTGTACCCCCCAGAAGGACCATTGTAACCTCCAGATTGACCATTGTAACCTCCCGACGGAGCATTGTAACCTCCTGATTGACCATTGTAGCCACCACCAGACGTGCCGTTGTAGCTTGCTGAAGGGTTATCTTGGTACGGAGCAGGACGACTCGAAGCCTGTGGTTGTCCCCACGACCCACCAACATTCGAGTGTTGACGTTCCGGCTGACCTCCCTGGTTATATCCTGGATTGCTATTGCCATACGACGGCGCACTATCTCCCTGCGGTGCCTGCCAAGTGTTTGTACCATCCTGAGGAGGTTGTTCTTGCAAAGGAGGCTGCTGCTGAGGTGGCCCCTCGTTCCGACGCGACAGGAATCCGTCGTTCAAACACACTAGCGCTTCCTACATCACCAACGACACGACGAGTGAGCTCTTTGCACCATCACACGTGATAAAAACCACAGTCGATTGACCTGCGATGCGACTCGAATGCGACGGTACTTTTCATCGCCATACACCGGATCCGGAGGCCCCGAAAACTCTGCACACAACGTCGCAACAGCAGCAACGTCAGTCTCTGAAGCTTTGAAAAAACTGCATGCTGCCTTTAACTCACGCAAATAGGCCGAGATTTCCTGCTCCTCGTCTCTGATAGCCTCTGTGAAAGCGGGACTGCCTTCCCGAATGCAATACTGAGCACAATAACAACGTTAGTTTTTCCGGAAGAGTTTATCTGCTTCTCGACCCACCGAGATGATCTGCAGCGCCTTGAGTTTGACATTTAAATTGCTCTTGTTGAGTCTCCCCAGCATATAGTCAGCTGCCTTCTCTGCGTCGCGGTCGCTGGCCTTCGTTGAGTCTTCCCACAAAAAGAAAAGTGTGAAAATTCTTCGCCGTAATGCTGCAGCAATTGCAGTTGCAGCAGTACTCACTGGCAATCTCCTCCATGAGGTAGACAGGAACTGGTGCATCATGGAGACTCGTGGCCTCAGCCAGCGCGTGCCGGTTCATGCTCCTTCTGGATGCGGTCTTGGCGACACGTTGTGGCAGACCTTCCCGCATTCGGGGGGACAGCGGTACACTGTACCCAATAAAACCTATATAAACGAATTTCAATTACATTCATGCTAGATGACAACCCTGTAAGTTTATTAGCGGTGTTTTCAATTTCAATTACCATGGATGACGAGGACGAAGAGGAGCTCCGCGTTGAGGCGGTGGTTGTGGACTACTACATGAGTAGTCCGCTGCCTGCTGATTCTGTCAAGAAGATACCCGCCTCTCCTTGCTATTTGCGTGCTCGTGAGGTCCCAGTTATCCGTATCTTTGGCGCTACACCCGCCGGACAAAAGGCACTCGTACATGTGCATGGCGTGAGTTTTGTTTCCATTTCTAACATTTCTAGAGCCACTATTGACACACCGATTGCTCTCATTTCAGATATTTCCGTATTTCTACTTCCGCACGGAAGACGACCCGGATTTTGAGGACGCGGAGCGTCTGCGAACGCTTTTACCTCGACTGGCCAAGGATATCGAGGCTGCCAACGCCTCCAAACAGAAGCAAAGACAGCAGAACAATGGAAACGCAACAGCAAGGTTCAATCCCAGTAGAATTATTGCCAAGGTAGGAAATTAATTATTGGGGACCATGACAGGATGAGGTTTTAGCGGTGTACTGTGTTGCTGGCAGATGCTCATAGTGCAAGGGACGCCGTTTTACGGGTATCATCCTAGGCCGAAGCTGTTCGTGCAGATCTTTTTGTATAACCCGCGAGTAGTAGCATCCGTTGTACAGTTATTGGAAAGTGGAGCTGTTGTTGAAAGACGATTCCAGCCATATGAAGCACACATACCGTTCCTACTTCAGGTAATTTGACTAGCAACGCGACACCTGCTGCACTGTACGACCAACAAATACTGATACTTTCACGCAGGTTTTTGCAGATTACAATATCGAAGGGATGAACTATGTAGCGCTCAGCAACGTCAAGGTACGCCCAGAACAATGTGAAATTTTCTAAGCATGTCGTGAAATAGCAAGATTGACCGCATCCACCACCTCAGTTCCGGTTTCCTCTTCCAGTGACACAGGAGCATCTAGCAAAAGCCCACGGCTCGAGCAAATACCCTTTGATCTTACTCCCCACTACCCCGACAGAGAAGATCAACGGATTGGACAAGAGTGCGTCTCCTTTGAAAGGACGATATGCACCGGTCCCCCAAGCTTCAAAACGGCGGTTTGATCGGCAGTCCAGCTGTGCCCTAGAAGCTGATGTTGCTGCTGCATGCATCTTGAATCCCAAGCAGTTTGAATCGCAGCAAAAAACAGCAGAAGGAACTGGCGAGTTACGTAATGTGCCGTCATTGGCAGCTATCTGGGAGGTACGTCGAGCATTACTACGGAGTTATCTTCCGTATACACAGTCTCTTATCATATTTTTATGCTAATAGTTTTCTGAAAATGATAGGAAGAAAGACAACGACGGATCCAGAATGGAGAGGCAGGAACACCAATGATGTCACTTAGTCTCCAACGCAACCCTGCGACGCCCAAAGGTTGTTCAACGAGTGCCTCGCCGGCGGCATCAGCATCGTCGCTTCTATCACAGTCGTTTTTTCATAAGAAGATGAAGGATTCAATTGACGCGGTGATGGAGGAATTAGAGAAGCGACAGCAAACCAAAAACGGCTCTGCTGATCTACTGTCTGCAGGTGACGTGGTGTCCTGTGGGAACTCCTTCGCTGCTGAGAGCGAGTTCTCTTACAGCCAAACTGAACATGAGAGCGATTTTGAGAACAATTCGGACCAGGTAAGCAGTGTGGTTTGTTAACATGACTATCTGAGCTATTTAACGAACTAATGCTGTTCTCGAGCAGGGGGCAGCTGCAGAGGACAAAGCGATTGTAAATATTCTTCTGGAGATGCAACAAGAGAGTGAACCGGGTCATGGACAGGATGAGTGGCAGGTAAAACATGACCTCGATGGGTACAGCACACCCGACGATAATGACGACGACAGAGGAATCGAGCAAGCCGACAATCGAAACGATGAAATTGGCGACATTTTGGCTTCTCAGCGTCTCGTTGAAGAACACAACGCAAGTCAAGCTACTGATTCTCCGCAAGGCAATGGTTGGTGGGATGTTGCGGAGCGGGAATCTCGGCCGATTGCAAGCCCGCTTAGTGAGCTGGGGAGTCCTCGTGTGGTTCTCCGTACTCCAAAGACGAGATCAAAGCAGGTATAAAGCCTTTCTCCAGTCGCTTTATGTGGAATTATGTGTCTGCTGACTGTAACACTGCGAAGCTGTCTTCAAATGCTGCCAGGTCTATTCGCTTTGGGGCCACTCCGGAGGATTTACCTTTGGTTGGGGACATCGAAGACCTTTTACCTCCGCGACCACAAGAGCCGACACCCATAACTCCGCCAGAAGAGGAATCGGACCCGGTTGATCGCCTCCAGCTGTCACTAACGCCGCATCCACAGCCCTTCCGAGTAAATCCCAAGGTTTTACGGCCGAAAGCAGCAGCAGGCAACTATCGATTGTGGGTCTTCAGTCCCGAGCCTCCTACGTATTCCCAGATGCTAACGTCGTCACACACTCTTGAAGTGGACCCACTGCAGGTTTGATACTGTGAAGCTTCCCGATCGCTCTAACGCTGAACTAACTGAAGCTTGACTGGCTAATGTTTGTAGTACCAACCTGCCTTCTACAGCAATGCAGCCGATATCCCCGACAAACCACTGATTTTCGGCGGGAAGAAATTCGATTTTACACCACAAACCTCCAGCAATCTGCCTGTGTTTGATACCACCGCGACGCGCCAGCTTCTACATCCGCTTTGCAGTAGTGGGAGCAGTGAAAGAGTGGACGATGCACCTTGGTGCAAGCTCTTTCAGCTGAAAACACTCAGCAACCCTAGTGGAGGAGGCGAAAAGGTATACTTTGAACGGATTGATTTCTCGGTCTAAGTGGTCTTACAGCTCTCGTTGCTCTTACAGATACGCCGTTTACGGATGCCAGCGCGGTTGCCTCCAGATGCCGCTGATGTGGAGGCTTGGGTAAGCAGTGACGCTGAAAAACGTCAAATTCCAGCTAAGGTTCGAGATTGAACGCGAATGGTGCCTCATATGTTATTGCTGACACTGAAGTGCCGCTTTTGCTCAGATACGACGCAAGCGATCTCGACCGTCGCTAACGTCTACGATGTCGCCCTCGAGTAAGCTCACCTCGACGACTATTTTGTCGAACATTACAATTCTGTCGCTTGAAATATTTGCCGAATCTCGTGGCAATATGCTGCCAAACCCGCTCTACGACCCAGTCAGCGTGATATGTTATGCCGTCGAGGCCCAAGAGGGGCCAACTGAATTTAAGACCAAAGAACGCGGTTTTCTCATGTTAAAGCCGGACGACATGGAAGAAGCAACACTCAAGGGTGTCGGTTTATGCGTGGACAGCAGCGATATATCGGTATTCATTGCTTCCGATGAACGGGAACTATTGCACTCGCTGAAAGCTTTGGTACGGCGGTGGGATCCTGACTTTTTAACAGGATTTGAAGTTCAAAAGGCTTCTATCGGATATCTTGTTGATCGTGCATCCCAATTGGATGTAAGCATCCTTTCTGCTTTGTTTATTGTCGCAAGCTCACTGCTTTTACCTTTGTTGTGCGGCTGATTTCTAGATACAACTCATCCAGTCGCTTTCTCGCCTTCCGTCAGCACCGATAGATCCTCGAAATACTACCACGGTTCCGGATCAAGAGGGTGACAGTCAAAAAGAAGCGTCTATCGGCACAAAATGGGGAGTGAACAAGGCAGCGGGTTTATGGCTTCACGGCAGGTATATACTAAACCTCTGGCGAATGACTCGATCTGAGGTACGACACTTTCCGGTCTAGCTATGGCTTACCGGGCTCTCGAGTTTTAACGTCTGCGCTTGTGCCTCAGCTCAAGTTGTCGCGCTACGCCCTCGAAGATGTCGTGTGGGCTGTTCTGAAACGGACTTACCCGGTTTACTCTGCTGAAAAATTGACATCATGGTTTCAGGAAGGTGGACAAACGCGTTGGAAGGTGATCCGATACTATCTGGAACGAGCCACACTCAATCTCCAAATCCTTTCCAAAATGCAGCTGATCACACGAACGAGGTACGATTCCCCTATTCAACTTTGTCACGCGGCACTATCTAACCTTGTGTGTGTTTCTGGATGCCAATGAATACAGCGAGATGGCACGACTTTTTGGAATTGACTTTTATTCCGTATTGTCTCGAGGATCTCAATACCGAGTCGAGGCTGTCATGTTGCGTGTGACGAAGCGAAAGAACTTCCTGTTGTTATCACCGAGTAGAAACCAAGTGGCTGGTCAAGCCCCGATGGAGTGCATTCCACTAGTGATGGAGCCCCATTCGAGCTTCTATCCAGACCCCGTCGTGGTTCTTGATTTTCAGGTACACTGTCACTATTATTTTGTGCTGTAGATTGGTTTCTAACAACGCTGGTAGTCTCTCTACCCTTCACTTGTGATTGGGTATAATTTGTGCTACTCCAGCTTCTTGGGCCGCTTGAAGGATGGCCTGAATCCTGAGCTGGAGACATCACTTGGGGTCATCGATTTTACTCCCAACACTACTGGACTCTTGCAGTGCAGAGGTGATGTAATAATTGCGCCGAACGGCACGTTGTTTTGCCCTAAGAGTCATCGTCATGGGGTTCTTCCGCTCATTCTGGACGAAATTTTGTCGACTCGGATTATGGTGAAGAAGTCGATGAAATCAGCGAAGGATTCCAACCAGGAGCGTCTAGAAAAGGTCCTAAATGCTCGTCAGTTAGCGCTGAAAATGATCTCGAATGTGACGTACGGGTACACGGCGGCTGGGTTTTCGGGGCGCATGCCATGCGCTCAACTAGCCGATGCCATCGTTCAGGTAGAGTCCACAGAGTTCCACGTTCATTTGTCTGGTGTGTGTATGTCTCAGTTGTCTTTGCGTTTGCTGATAGACTGGACGATGTACGCTTGAAGCTGCTGTTCGATTGATAGAAGGGCGGGCAGACTGGAATGCGAGGGTTGTTTATGGCGATACAGATAGTGTTTTCGTGCTACTAAAGGGGAGATCGAAACAAGAAGCGTTTCGAATTGGCCAGGAAATCGCTGACGCGGTCACCGCGTCGAATCCAAAGTAAAATTTAAATGTGCTGTGGTAGGGATTGGTAAGGCGCAGATTCTCACTTGGATTTTGTGCATACAGACCGGTAACGTTGAAGCTGGAGAAGGTTTATATGGGCTGCGTTCTCGTGTCCAAGAAACGCTATGTGGGTAACAAGTTTGAGTCCCCGACACAAGAAGTTGGGATCATTGAATCAAAAGGAATTGAGACCGTTCGACGCGATTCTTGTGGTGTGGTCCAGCACGCAATGCAGGCCTCCCTTGAAACGCTGTTTGGATCTAGCGACCTGTCTAAGGTGAAGGAAGGCATGGAGAAATACTGGATCCAAATACTGGAGAACCGTGTGCCACTGAAAGAGTTTATCTTTTCGAAAGAAGTTCGCTTGGGGACGTACAGCAACGGAAGGTATCTGATAACCTATCATTTATTGGGGTATGGCTGTATCTGACAATTGGTTTATGGTTTAAGTGCTCCTCCTGCAGCTCTTGTCAGTGTAAAAGCCATGGGGAACGATCCGCGAGCAGAACCTCGGTATGCGGAACGGGTGCCCTATGTTGTGGTAAACGGACCTCCTGGCGCGCGTCTGATGGACTTGGTTGTGTCACCCGATGAGTTCTTCGACAAGCGGAAGCGCTACAGCATCAACTACCACTACTACATTAACAAGCAGGTGCGATTGTGATGGCCACTCCGGTTTCATCATTTAACGAATCTCATCACGTTGCAATGTTCGTGTACGCAGATCATTCCCAGTCTGGAACGGCTCTTTCTGCTGACTGGTGCCAACATTCGCTCGTGGTACGCGGCGCTGCCTCGATCGTCTGTGAAAGCTCGTCAGCATGTACTCGACAACGCTACGCCCACACGTCCATTTGGTCGCGGCTTTCGATCCATCGACTCGTTCTATCTGAGCAAACATTGTCGGCTATGCGGGTCAATAGGCAACGACACGCTGTGCCAAGAGTGCACTGCCAACCCACAACGAAGTCTACTGGCGATTCACACTGCGTCCACAAGACACGAAAAAGCGGTGATGGCTCTGAAACTTGCGTGTACAACGTGTGCCGATCGAGACGCGTTCACGAACTGCCACAATGTGGCCTGTCGCGTGTGGAACCACATCAGGTTGTTTGAAGTTGACAAAGCCACTCTCACATACCAAGAGCGATAAAGTGAACAAAAAGAAAGTTATCTATTACCCTTGAAGGACAATTGGACCGTCGGGCTGTGCTGTCTAATTCTTACGCGGCCGGTTGGGTTTCTTGCCCTTGCCAGCCTTGTTCTTGCCCTTCTTGGGCTCCTGCTTTTGCTTCTTCGCGGGTCGCTTGGTCTCCTGGTCTTCCTCGTCGTTATCGCTCTGGTCCTCCTGCGTCACCTCGGCCTCAACGTCCTCAGCAGCCTGCTTACGGTCCTTCTTGGCCTTGACACGTTGTTTCTTGGTCATGTTGGCCTCTTCCGCCTCTTCCTCAATCTCCTCAGCGGTTTTCTTAGCGTCCTTCTCCTCCGAAGGCATTGTGTTGGCGTACTTCTTGAACTTGGCCACGTAGAAACCATCCATGTTGTGCACGTGAGGGTAGAAACGACGAGTGAGCTGCACGGAAGGGTGGAAACGCTGCTGCTGGTAGCGGGTGAAGCCCGGCTTGCCGTGGTCCAGACCCGTGTCAACAAGCTTGACGCAGCGTTTGCGCAGAGCGTAGTCGACAACCGACTCGTTCTCGTCCACCATGACGGAACACGTCGAGTACAAGATGTATCCGCCAGTCTTGGACTTGGCATCGACAGCATCGATGGCAGCCAATAGCAGCTCCTTCTGCAAGTGAGCGAGACGCTGGACGTCCTTCTCGCCCTTTTGCGTCTTGATGGACGGATCACGGGCAATAACGCCCATACCAGTGCATGGAGCATCGAGAAGAACGCGATCAAACCCCTTGAACAGACTCGGCACCTTGCGGCCATCGTAGCACGACACTGACGTGTTCTTGACGCCAAGACGGTGCAAGTTAGCCACCGTAGCCTTGAGACGCTGTTTCTTCAGGTCGTTAGCAATAACCGTTCCCGTATTCTTCATCAGCTGAGCAATGTACGTCGTCTTACCGCCGGGAGCGCAAGCCATATCCAACACGCGCTCGTTCATCTGTGGGGCAAGAGCCATAACAGCACAAATCGACGAGGCTGATTGCAGCATGTAGTGGCCAGCAAGGTACTCAGGTGTAGCACCAATGGGCACAGGCGAATCGTAAATCTTGAGACCAACTTTGGACCATTTGGCTAGAGGATCCAGGTTGACACCACGCTGGATCAAAGCCTGGGCCAGATCACGACGACGTGCCTTCAGCGTGTTGGTACGGATGACAAGTGGACGCGGCTGCTCGTTGGCCTCCACGAACTCGACGCACTCGGCAGGCGAGAACATTTTAAGGAACATGTCGATCAGCTCGCGGTTGTATCCGAAGTATCCGGCCAGGTCCTTGGCTAGAGACTCCACGTAGTCCACGCGGGAGCGGCCAGGCTCGCGACGCGCACTGAAGTGCGAAAGAACCTCCACCACGTCCTTAATACGCTGGTAGACTTCGGCTGGGTCCGACATGTCATCGTCACCTTCACCCTCTTCAGCCAGCTCCTCCTCCGTCGGCAGGTGGTACGGCTCATTGTTGGCAATGTTAAGACGCATTTCCTCATCGGCCTCCTGGGCCTGCAGCGCCTCCTCCTCGTCCAAGAGGCGGGCTTTACGCTCAATATCGAGCTCCTCCTCCTCTTCGTCCTCTTCTTCTTCATCGTCGTTCTCATCGTCACTGTCTTTATCCTTCTTAATCTTCAACCAGCTCTTATTGGCATCCGAGAAGCCATCGTCGGCCTCGGGCCCCTCCTCGTCGCTGTCCTCCTCGTCCTCGTCATTCTGCTCCTCCTCTTCATCCGAATCAAAAAGCTGCGCCTTGTTGCTACTGCTCTTGGCACTGCGCTGCTCCTGCTTGGCCGCCTCCTTCACGTACTTGGAGGCTTTAGTAGCAGGCTTAGCAACCGGCTTTGCGGCCGGCGGGGAGCTCAATTTGCGCTTGTTCGGTCTCGCCATGGTGCTGGACGTTGACTTCTGTGTCGCTTCGGAGCTCGTGACCACTACAGTTTGACTGGTGCGCAAAGGTTATTGTCGAGGTTAAGGTGAGCCACACCATGATGTAGTTGAGGTTGAAGTAGTCTTGAAGTAACGTTTAAGTGGCGAGCTCGAAAAGACGTCAGTTGTTGAACCGACCATCACTCTTCGAATTCCGCAATGGAAGCGGCGGCGTCAGCGGCAGCGCCACCGGTGACCCCCGCATCACTTGGAGGCTTTTCGGAAGCCGCAAATGCCGGGTCGAGGTATGATGCGCTCTTACGGCAGATCGTGCAGCTTAACACGGACTTGCAGAAGACGGCGGCATTCAGTCAGACGCTGCAGCGTGAGCGGGACGACGCCCAGCAGATCAGCACGAAGGTTGAGATGAGATCACTAGCTCTTGCAAGAATTCTGCTCTTAATAAATTAATATTGGTCTTTCACTCAGCTTAAAGGCGAGGTAAAGCGTCTACATGAGCGCTATGACAAGATGCAACTCGTGCTCATGCAGGAGACGGAGCAAAAGGTGCACCAATGCATGAGATAACTGCGGTAAAGGCTTGACGACACTAATAGTGGTTTGTATGTATGGGGTAGATTGAATCAGACAGAAAGCACGAGGAGTTGATCGGCAAGTGGAAGAAGCAGCTGGAGGCGAAGGTACGAGCATTCGAGTCGCTGCAGAAGAAATTTGCGCCTCCAAGGGATCTCGAACAGCTCCGCATCAAGATTCAGGAGGAGCTGGAGGGGCCGTACCAACAACGGATTGATAACTTGCAAGACGAGATGGAAAGGCAACGCCTGATGAGTTTTGATATGCGTCGTGAGTTTGAGACGCTTAAAACGGAGTACGAGCAGTTTTCGATCGATCAGGTAGGTACTGTGGGGCGACTTGGGTGTCTCAACTAAAGCTGACGCATGTTACAGGGCAACGAGATGGAATGCGTTCAGGAAACTTATGAATTGACTTTAAACGACCTGAGACGCAAGCTGCAAGCTGCCGAAGACGCGGCAGCCAACTCGCAGCATGCGGAAAAAGCTCGACGACTTGAACAGCAAAGAGAGGCAGCTCAAATTGAAATTAAGGCTCTACGCAATGAAGTCCGGGTGAGTGAAAGGCGATATTCAGGTTAGTCGGACTGGTACCTCATGCCATTTTTGAATGTGAAATAGGATGTGCGGGAAGAGCTGCAACGAGTATCTGAGCAAAGTGAAAATGAGAAAAGTGCTTGTGAGCTGCGCTTAGCCGACGAGGCGACACGTAATGCAACGCTAGATCTAGATTTAAAAGCTTGCGGCCGCCAACTCACGAGAGCAAAAGATGAATACGAAAGCATCCGCTCCAAATGGGATCATGCACAGAACAAGTTGCTCGAACTGACATCTGAAAGCGAAAGTCTACGAGAGCAACTTAAGCAGAAGGAGGTGCTCATCTTCAGCAGCCATAATTCAATGTCGATGAAGTACGTAGCTATTGATTTAGCTTGCGTTGCCTGTTTCTATTAGAAGTCACAAAGGGTGCGGCTGATATTGCAGACTTCGAGACGAACGAGCCACATGGGAACGAGAACAAATGAGCTTGAAGGTTTGTTTTGTGTCTCATTCTTGTATGTGGCATCCAATATTTTCTTATCGTGTTGACCATGCGACTTAGGATCGTATTAATGAGTTGATGCTTAAGCTTCAAGCAACAGAGGCTGCGGCACAAAAGAACTACAGCGCAGCTGCCCAGTCAAGAGATAAAGACAGTAGTAATGCAGAGCATACCCTTCTGCTAAAAGCCCGAGAAGATGAACTAGAAAAATATCGGGGCCTTGTTGCAGAGGCGGATAAAAAGGTATGTAGCCCTCACAGAAAACGTAACAAAAGTGGAAATAGGCGTTCTCATTCGTATTCGCTTTGCTATCTACTGCTTTACTAGGTTACTGCTCAAGAGGAGGCTCTCCGTCGGTGTCAGAATGAAGCTGAAGAGGCTACTCATAAGCTTCAATTAGAAAGTGAGAGCTTGCGGAAAGTTGTCCAGACCCTCGAGGCTGAAAAGGCGGTTATGATAGCCAAGCAGACTTCTTCGCATGAGCTGGTACGCCCACGTGACTTGCTCTCTTTCAAGTGCATTCGATCTCATTGCTAGCCCAATCAGGTTTCTCGAATGAAGACAGAGTGCGTTACACTGCGTACCAAGCTAAAGGAAGTCGAAAACGATTATCACACTCTTCAAACGAAGCACAGGTCGTATAAGTATTGTCTTTGGCGAAAACTATATTCCTGAACGCTGCAATGCTTACCCGTTTTGCTTGTGTTCGCCCAGGGAGATTATTCAGTATCAGGAAGATGTTCAGCTTGAAAAAGAAGAGGCTCAAGGAAAGGTATTTGAATCAAACTTCTACTGTAGATTGTTTTTAGCATTATTGCCTTACAATTTACTGTTCCACTCTATATCAGCTCAAGTATATGGAGCAGGACTATGCTGTGTTGGTGGAGAAACTTGATAAAGAGAAAGAGAATCTTGCGACCACGGCACGAGATTTGCATGTAAGCTGGATTAAACATGTCATAACGGAGCCTCCTACCCTGATAAAACAAACTAATGGACTGTGGTGCAACACATTGCCACGCGGACAGAGGAAATGTACCAAGCTGGAGAGTGACTTTCAAGCCCAACGTTCTGCGCTACAACGGGAAACTCGCTCTGCTTTGTCCAAAGCGCTTAGGGAGCTAAGCAAAGCGCAGAAAGTAAGAACTGCTTTCTTGGTTAAAGTCAACACTACTATCATGAACTCATGTTCGTGGGTCCCTCCACTGCAGAAACGCGACGCTTATAAACGCAAATGCTTAGAGATTCATGAAAACTACAAGCAGCTAGTGGACGAGACAAATCGACGAGAGGCCGAGTTGCTGCAGTGCAGGCAGGAACACACGGCTGAATTACAGCAGCTACTTGCTCAGCTTTCGGAGGCGGGTAGTGATAAAACAGCATTGATGCAGCGCCAGATAGAGCTTGGATTTCCACCGCCAAACATTTCCTCAAAAAAGGTAATAGTCGTCCGCACTTTTATCCATTGTTCAAGATTGCTGGTAACCTTTCCACTCGTATTTTCGGACCACAGTGATGCGATCAACCGACCCTCACGAGTGAAGACAACTGTACTTCAGTAAACGCGAAGAAACAAGGAAAGCTTTAGGTTTTAAATATTTTACAGTGATGCAGAGTAAAAAGCACGTGCAAGGTCGGCGGTGCAAGCACTGAAGCGCAAGTCCACGGAGCATGCAACGACATCAATCTTTACTTCGCCATCGTACACCGAGACGTCATGCACAAGCAGGCAGGCTAGGCTGTCTAAATTTTGCTAGTGACAGGCGGTTGCCAAGGCTTCTGAGCGCGGCGCTGGTTCCAGTTGAGGTTGGTGATCATTGATTCGAACCAGTCCTGGTTCTCGTTCACGCGACAAATCGAAGGCAGCGGGTAGGACGACACACGGACAACAATACTGTCACCCCGTTCCAGACGCACGCGGTTCTTGCCATCAAAAGACACGTAGCATGCCGACGAACGACTCGTAGTGGGGAACTCAATCTTCAGGGTAGCACTATCGTGGAAGATCAGAGGTCGGAAGCTCAATGTGTGCGGGCAGATCGGCGTGAATAACATCGAAGGCACCGAAGGATGCGCCATTGACCCGCCGGCCGACAACGAGTAGGCAGTGGAGCCCGTCGGGGTGGCGATGATAATGCCGTCAGCAGCGATCTTGGTGATCTCCAGACCATCACAGTAGCAGTTGAGCTCCACAAGAGCACCCGACGGGCCTCGGTCGATCACAATTTCGTTGAGCGCGTGCAAGTTTCCACTTATCTCACGTTCCTTACAGCCACGGTAGATGGAGCATGATAAACGCGAGCGCAGGGACATGTAGAAGCCCCCGTTGATGACACTTGTGAGATGTTCCACAGCATCCTCGGCATCAAACGGCGTCAGAAAGCCCAGCGAGCCCATGGCCAGCGAGAATACAGGCGGCACACTCTTGCTGAAGAGGGAAGAGACCCACAGCACTGTCCCGTCACCACCCAGCGAGATCACAAAATCAATTTTACTCTGACACTCGATCCAGTCCTGCGGCTTGCTGCCCCACGTCTTGGTGTTGGGCAATCCAAGCTCTTCGTGTACACTCGGTTCTAAGTAGACGTCGATGTTCTTCTCCTTGTGCAACCATGAAGTCAGCCCGTCTAGCATCTCGGTTGTATCGGGTTCGTTGGGTTTCTTAACAATTAGCACAGTCTTGGGCGGCTCGTCCCACATAAGCTGGACGTTGTTGCGCGAGCGGTGCTGCGTTCGGATACTGCGATTCATAGGCGTGAATACCTCGCACTGCTCATCAGAGCACTGTAGCAGCCGGAAGCACGAGCGGGGCACGGCACCGTCGTCCACAAGCTCAGCCTCACTATAGGTCGACGAGGCATCACTCTCCACGACGCTCGAGGTGTCCTCGCTGTAGATGCCGTCGCGACCAGGTTGCGCCCACGTGTTCGCAATCAGGATCAGCTCCGAGTTGGTGCGCTTACGCGGACGGCTTTTAACACACTGCAGGTCCACCTTGGCGACCTCCGCAGCAGGGGGATGGTGACCCGTGAGATCTTTGCAGCGCTTCATCCAGTAGTTCTTCTCGGCGATGGCCTGACGCAACTGTTCCCGGAGGTCGTTGATCTTGGCCTGCAGCCGGAGCGGGTTCTCTCGCTGGGTGTCACAGAAGGCAAGGACGCGCTGTAATTGCTCATTAATCCCGTGTAAATCCCCCTCCAACGAGTATCCGTCTCCAGAAGAGGACGCATACGACGGGAGTCTCGAGCGTGAGGCCAGTTGCTGTTGCTGCGGCTCGTCGCCCAGATCCACAAGCGAAACAGAACCCGACGCGACGGCGGCGTCGTAGTGGCTGTCGGTGAAGCCCATGCTGGCTAAGTCGGCGTGGCTGGTATCGCGCAGGTCGACGATCTGCTTGATCTTCGGGGGCGTGAGCTCCTCCGCTTCCGGCACGGATTGCAGACTCGGGAATGGTGCTTTGGCGTCCGCGTCATCTGAGGGCTGGGGAGAATCGCTCATGCGGATGGGGTGTGACGTCGAGCGACAAGAGACGGGGACTGGGCAGAAGCACGGCTCGGTTTGATAGAGCGTTGAAGAACAGTTAAGTTGACTGTGGTGGATGGCAGTGCAACGGCGACGACTGGCTCGCGATTGCTTGACCCAAAGGGTGTCGCTACATGTACGCGTGACTTGTGCTCAGTATGGGACAAGCTATCTTTCCACACGTACTGACTGTTTACGAAGGCAATTTGACAAAAGATGACGACGACACTATTGTTGATGAGGGCTGCGACAGACCAAAAGTGGGTATCTAGATGGCATATACCGGTATTCTGCAAGCATTACTTTACTGAATACATGTAGTACTAACACAAGCAGCTGGGAAAATGACACCAGGTGAGTGGATACATGAAAGTTATGACAGAAAGTATAAAATGATCACAGACGAAGATGGTGAACACAGCTTTCGTACCGACTCACTTACTGTCGCAACTTTGCATTCAGCAAATCCCTTGTTGGTCGGTGGGAGCCAATTCCAATTGGGAGACGATACCGGTAATCACAGAACCTCCAGTCTAGTTATCGCAATACTGTTGTTTTCATCCCCGCAGGGTAGGCTCCTTGACGCTTAGCTCTCCTGCTGCAGTCCATTCTGGATAATTTTTCCACTTTTTCAGCAGCTCTATCTTCTCTCTCTCGGACCGCTGGGTGGAATCGGGGAAAAAGTCACATTAACTCGCGCGAGTTATTCTGACTCAGGAAGAAAGTCAGATTAATTTGCGCGAGTTATTCGGACTCAGGGAGAAAGTCAGATTAACTCGCGCGAGCTATTCGGACTCAGGGAGAAAGTTAGGTTAACTCGCGCTAATTATCCTGACTCAGGGGGAAATATTACAAACACAGCCACGTTGTGAAATAGGCCTGCAGATCGCTAACTGAAAACCCATCCATTTCCTGCTCAAGTACGAGCTGGGCTAGGTGATCCGGACCTGCAGCGGTGTATTCTTGTGGCCCACCAGACACTGGTTTGCATGAAACTATGTTATGATCCATAGGTCGCAGTACTGACTCAGGACTCAGCAGTACTACTGAGTATAGACACGCGCGGAAAACTCGTACTCTACAGACCTCCCATGAGATGAAGCGTACTCTTGAACAGCATGAAGAGCATGTGAAGCAGTATCAAAAGTCATTTTGACTTGAATAGTTTTTCTCATCGCCGCTGTCCAATCCATCAGCGATGTCGTCGATGTCCTTCGTCATTTTGCGTCCCTCAGTCGTAATAAGTGGTTTTGGGACTTAAGAGTTATAACGTATTGCGCGCTGTATACCAAGTTGCGAAGTGAGATTAGTCAAAGAGTCCTTAAATAATTTCTATCTACGAGCTCCTGCGGCAGTAGTACCTGTCCTTCCTGCTGCTGCTTCAGTAGCCGCGTGCCACCGGCTACTCCTGGTCGCCGGCGTGTGCCGCCCGCTCACTGTCGCCAGTCGCGTTGCCGATATGGCTTGGAGGCACGCGAGAGCGAAACACGAGCACGCTTCTCCTCTCGGTATTCGCTGAGTCTGTTCAGGCAATGTCATCTGATAGTTGGTGTGCCATACTCCACAAGAGTATACGATTTGGGTCTTCATACGCATGGCGAACATTAGTATACAACGGGTATTTGGGTTTAAGTCCGGTCCACCTTGTTTCAGCCATTCAATCATTTGGACACACGTTGTGACATTTGTTCCCTAAATTCCTCACTTACTGACGCGGGTTTCACTTGGTACACCTACCGGCGATACCGACCCCACTTTGCTCACGTTTTGGCACACCTTTAACTTTCTGTCACAACTTCAGTGTATCACTCACATTTTGTCATTTTCCCCAAGCAGCTAGGCATTGCTCACAATCCACCAGGCCGTCTTATTCTAGCAACGAATTGGGAAAGTTGCGGCTAGACGACGGGTTTCCGAAACGTGACTTTGCAGTTTATCTACAGTCATACCTATTCAGGAGATCGCTGTGATACAGTAACCCAAGGCTCGAATGCTACATGTACCAGCTCTCGGCAAATAATATCGAAGCACGACTAACTAAAGTGACGTCACAAATGTGGGAGTGTACATGTATACAAATCTTACCAATTCTTATCAAATACCGGTACTTGTAAACCGGTTTCGGCCACCGTTTAGATAAGTGGGTCAGTATCAGAAAAATATTTATTTAATTGTTATAACAACACTTTTTAAAATAAAATAGCTACCGGTAATTACGAAGTAGCAGCACGTGCGCACAATCATTGGCTTATTTTCACACAAAAATCTGATTGACACGCATGAAAAAAAACATCGGACGCGCAGACAAATTGATATGGGCGATCACGCCACGCCAACTGAGGGCCAGACTACTGGTAAGCTCAAGTACGAACTTGTGGAAGGCCGCACTACCGCCACACACGTATACGCGACGTATCCGCTCAAATTTCTGCACCCGCGACGAACCATCCACCAGAGCTTCGACACATACATCACGGTGGGCTACTTACATTCTATCTCTTTAGCTTGAGTATGCATCCACTGACTTACTTACGTTATGAAATGACAAATGGTGCGCACAGTATATTTTGGGCTACGGGGGAGGTCTTGTGGGCGGCGACTCCATTGTCGTGGAATGTGAACTCGGTCCCGGCACGTCAGGTGAGAGGGAAAATTGTTATCAGCTCGGGCGTGGTGGTATTTTAGCGGACTGACGTGTAGGCAGTTGTTATGGGGACACAGGCTACCACGAAGGTGTTTAAATCTGATGATGAGGGCCAGTTTGTATCGCAAACGTTCTCGCTCAAGGTTGTTGCCAACGCCACGCTGGCATTTCTCCCTGACCCCGTGACCTGCTTCGAGAGTGCGAAGTACCGACAATCCCAAGTGTTTCATCTTGAAAGGAATGCGAATTTGGTCTTCGTAGACTGGTTGACGAGCGGTAGAAAACGAAACTACTTGACCACGGGATCTGTCCGTGACAACCGAACCGAGACGCTTGAGCACTGGGATTTTAGCGAATACGATTCGACGTCAGAGGTTTTTGTTGGTGGTGAGCGTCTTGTGACGGACCGCGTTCGACTTGCAGGTAATAGGGTCGCTGCTGTCTTCAGAAATTGTTCGCTAAGCTATAAATAACTCAACATATTGACTTTTCCATTTCTGTGGCGCAGACGAAGAAGATGTGAGCCTTCGCCAGCGTATGTACAATATGCATGTGCTAGGTTTGATGGTGATTGTCGGCTCCAAACTGAAGGTTATCATGGATCAGCTCCTGGAGCTGAGCACCCGCAAGAAACTCCACAATGCACGGGACATCACTCCTCAAGGACGTCTTGCGACGGCCAATACGTTTCCTGGGGTGATCGCATCTGCAAGCTCCCTGGGGGAGAACTCAGTCATGGTGCGGTTCTGTGGACAAGATGTGGAGGCAGCGATGGCCTATGTCAAGGCCATGTTGGAGCCATTGAGGGAGATTATAGGCTTTACTCCTTACCAGGAGAATCGATAAGTTTTACACTGTAGAAAGGGTTTGCTGTGTCTGACAAATGAGTGGATATTTGCACGCCTTTGTTGACGAGAAAAAGCGTTATATGGAGCACGGCAAGGCAAGGACAGGTATTATGACATTTTGTTTCTTCAAGTCTAAAATCTTGTTGAATTCGTTACAGATTTTCTACAAGCTTGTCATGCGCTCTGCATGAATAAATTACTAGCAATAACTGGAGCCCGCTCTAGAATGCATCAACCTTTGCATGGCACGTAGGGCATCGCATCTCCTGGTTCAGTTTCGGTACAATACACTCGTCGTGAAATCGGTGGCCGCACGACAACGTTGTCGTGTAGCTCAGTACACTGCTGCGGCCACTCGACGACGTGTGGAAGCTGTCCGTTTTTGAAGAAGTGGACGCACCAAACGCCTCGCCGTCCAGACTCGAGCTGCACTGTGTGCACATGCCCACTGCCTCGTCCGCCTCGTCCGCTAGCTCATCGCCCTCGTCCGAAGTCAATGACATCGAAGAGCACACACTGTCGCTCAGATTACCGAGGTTGGAGCTGCTGTTCCTGCTGTACACTCCACTTAACGGGTGGCGCTTGTCACTCACGTCGCCCAGTACGAAATCTGCCACCAACTGCGTTATGCTGTTAGCCACAATGGAGCACGCTGCCGCGTTCTGCTGGTTCACAACAAACTTTTGCAGCGACGTCAGCACGTGCTCCAGTGCGTCGCGGCGCTTCTCCACGGCGCAGTCGCTGTGACCGCCGAGTCCGAAGAACGACACGGATCCCGGGAAGTAGCTCTTGACGAATGTAAAAAGCCACGGGCACTCGGCCTGACAGAAGTGACCTAGGCGTAGCGCCGTCAGCAGCTGAGTCTGGAAAGCCTTGTACTCGTCGAAGGAGCGCGCCTTACGCCAGCGGGTCTGCGAGGCGGCGTGCTCCACATGCAATTCGTAGCGCACGTCGCGCTTGCTGAAGCGCACGGCCGACACGCGCAGCGAGAGTTGCTCCAAGAGAGCTGCGAGTGGGCGCAACGGCATTAGTGACGCCCGTTTGCGGCCAGATACTGAGACCGCTCCGTTGAATGAGCCCGAGCTCGAGTGGCGGTGCTGATGGTACATTTGTCGTCGATGTCGTCGACGTTGAATTCGGATAGCTGGCTGATTGAGAAATGGCGACAGAAGCTTGCAACCGGCCACTGGCCGGTACAGTACCAAGGTACATGTATCGGCGTAATCGAGTCCCTCCAGCAGTGCGTAAGCTGGCCTGTCCATGGATACTTTACGTAAACCTTGGCGTCTCATGTGGATATTAAAATACATGCTTAATTTCGTGTTTGCCTGCAATATCTGATCGATCTGTCAAAAACGGGATACACGTTTACCGTTTCACTTGGTCAAATCCCTTGTGTAACGCGATGACCTCCCTTTTCACTTATTATTATTTTCCGGGGCACAGACCATCATTCTAGCGACTTATTTGCTAATTTACGCCAATCGCTCCAATGGTAAGCCATCCTCCACCGACCGTAAGCTGTGGGGCGCGTCTCTGATAATAATAGCGCGTGTGCTGCTTGCGGAAAGGCCTCACGACGGCGGCGCTTGGTACTTAAATACTCGATGTTGTCGTCGAGATGGCTTAGAAGCGAAGCAACGGTCTTTCTGTCATTTTTCCACTTGCCCTGCCGTAAGCAAAGCCCAACGAATCTGTATTGCCGAAACACCGCGCCATTCTTTAGGAGTAAGCTGTATAATACTACGTAGTAGTACACTATGCTACTACTGTACCGCAAAAATAGAAGTCGCAGGGCCAAACTACTGTTACTGTCAGAGCCGTACACCGACGGACAGAATGCAACTGCCGACAAAACTAACTGCCAGTCAGTGTAAAAGGGCGTGCAAGATAGAAGAGATGCGCAAATCCTATTTTATCAACCAATCGAATCACTCAAAATCCTGATTTTATTCGCCGATCCAGCCGTTATTTCTGTGCCAGCCACTTTGTAAGATGGAGGAAACCAGCCGTTATTTCTGTGCCAGTCACTTTGTAAGATGGAGGAAACCGTCGAGCCCGAGCCACCCACAGAGCCTCCATCAGCGCTGCAAGGCGCAGAGGAGGCTGCCATCGCGAGCCTTGTTGACGAGGTCTTTTCCCAGCCAACGCAACGTAGAATGCACTACTCAATGAAGCAGAAACGACACGCTCTCCTAGCAACAGAAGGTCTTAGTGAGCGTGAAGCTGCACGCTCGCAAAAAATACCGCGGTGGACGCTCAATGGCTGGAGAAAGAACAAAGAGGACATATTTGCGTTCAGAGGCAGCGAGAAGACGCTTTCTCGTGCGCCTGGGCGTCCCGAGATGGTCCCGTTCAAGGTGGAGCTGATCACCTTCATGAAGGACACTCGTCGTGAGAGTCGGCCCCTCACCGCCTCCATCATGGCCTCTTACATTCGTGACGAGCACCCGGCGTGGCTACAGGGCTACACTGAAGGAAAGAAGGACACGTTCACAGCATATGAATCGCTACTAAAGCTGATGCGCCGCTTTGCCTACCGGCACGGCTTCGTGCAACGCACTCCGCACGGTTTAAAGGTAACCCATACATTGTAATATTACCTCTAGATAACTGATATCTAACTGATATTTTATGCTGCTATGTATTCCTTCTTTCTATAGGAAAAACTCGAAGACCTAGAAGCTGTTCAAAAAGCGTTTGCTTGCGTTTTTGAGGCCAAGTATAGCGGATATAATGCAAGCGAGGTATTTAACTGCGACGAGACTGGCGTTTACTTTGACGCGCCACCAGGCAAGATTTTGTCGGAAAGGGGCCAATCGTCGGCAATAACCGCCCAGCAGAAGCATTCTGCCAGATTGACCGCTGTGTGCACAATTTGCGGTGACGGCGTTAAGCTCCCCCTACTTTTCATAGTACGCGGGGAGCAAAACGGCATCATCGAGAAGGAAGAGGTGCCAACTTATCCTGAAGGTACGCTGTATTATTTTGATCTTTCTGAATAACTACATGTATAACTGACTTGCTGTATCATTACAGGCCATATTTACACTGTTCAGAGCAAGGCCTGGATGGACGCACGGGTGTGGAAGCTCTACTTGCGCTCCCTACTGCAGAAACATATCGCAAGCCATTCTCTGCTGCTTGTTGATAACTTGGAGTGCCATGTTTCTGGTGAATCTGAGGCGATTATCTCGGAGGAGCTCATGGCAGTGCTCCAGCCACTGCCAAAAAACTCTACTTCCGTGTGCCAACCTTTAGATGTAGGCATCATGGGGCCTCTGAAGGCGAAGCTGAAGGCTTTGTGGCTGACCGAAAAGGCTACCGCTACGACGGCAAAGGAGAAACGCATAGCGACGATCAAGCGTGTAATTGCGGCATGGGAATCTATCGAGGCCAACACAGTGACGAAAGCGTTCAACAAGGCACTCGACACGAACTATAAAAATACAGCTGCCTCCTCGTAATTCATTGCTTTTGCAATATAAAAATACAGCTGCCTCCTCGTAATTCATTGCTTTTGCAAATCCTTAAAATATTGAAGACCTTTGCTTCCTAGCAGCTGTTTCTACAAAGTGAGGTGGCATTTGCATTCTGTCCGTCAGTGTAGCTCCAGTTCTGCCAATTCTCGTAAACAAAAAAAATACTGCGGAATTATTGATATTAATAGTCACTTGTATTCGGTATTTAGGTACAAGAAAAGATCGAATTTATCAAGAGAAGGAGTGTTAGATAATTTGCATACCGGTAAGCATAGGTAGACACGTGCGGTGGTGTGCTTCATGCTGTTAGCACTTTAATAGTAGGTGCGATTAAAGCATTCGTAGAGATTCTAGGCAATTGAGACATGCTACATGGTACAAAGAGACGATCTGCGCACAAGCTGCCTCCCAATACGAAATCCAAATGAGAGGCGTCATCTTTCGTAGAGGTGACAGGGTGATGGGCTACCTACCCCGATATTTTGTCAAAATGTACATGTGTAGGACACCCGGCCCTAAAACCACCAATAATTTACGTTTATCATCCAATCTACACAAAAATCATCGATCGTCACCTACCGGTATCAACTCGCAAACTGCACCCCAAAAGTACCTACTGTCACCAACAGTCATTCTTTTGTGATGAAGAGAGGAAATGAGGAAGTGATATTGAAGGCATTCATGGCCGAGCAGCCCGTAGGTTTCGTAACCGCTGGGTCTGGGAGGTAAAACCCCTCTCCTGGGTCCAAACATCCTCCCAGTCCTGCTATCTTTGACTTCAACTGTCGACCAAATCTCAACACTCCCCCGTGGTCTACAGTGCCGTGACTGTGTTGACCGCTCCCCCGTAATTGCAAAAGTCACGGTGTGTTACGAGGTTGTGTTGGCGCCCTCAGTAATCCTCGTGACCGGCCAGCATCCAGTTTTTCAGAAACTCCGTGCTCCGTCGTCATCACCTGCAGTCGGCCCATGGGCTACTCGCTTTGAGTCCTCCGCATGCCGGTTCTGCGCCGTGAGCCAGACCACGCCCAGCTCGTCCGAGAGCCCCGCGTGCCGTTGCTCGATCCGGAGCCAGACCACACCCAGCTCGTCCTAGAACCCCGTGTGCTGTCGCTCGAGCCAGGCCGTGTTAAACTCGTCAAAGAGCTCACACGCTGTTGCTTTCAAGCTTAGCCAGCCCATGCCCAGCTTGTCCAAAAAAGCCTCGCATGCTGTCGCTAGTTATACTTACCGTCTCTTTTTCTCTTACCAAGGCTCGTAGACTTTACTTCGGGATGCGTCTCACGAACACCGAGACGGCCACGTAAGGTTTGAAGTACATCTGTAGTCACAGCTTTTGTTAGTAAGTCTGACACATTTTCCTTAGTATTTACGTATTCAATCTCTAAGTCTTTCAGTGCAATGCGTTCGCGGATAAAATGATATCTGGTGTCAATGTGCTTGGTACGCTGGTGGTGAATGGGATTCAAGGCCATGACGATAGCTGACTGGTTATCAACAAATACCACCGTGGTGTCTTGCGGCATGTTCAACTCACCCAGTAGTTCTCGTAAGAATATCACCTCTTTAGCTCCGTGTGCCAGTGCCATATACTTGGCTTCAGTAGACGATAACGCCACAGTCCGTTGGCTTTTGCATGAGTACGTAATTGCACAATTTCCTACTTGCATAACGTATCCAGATACCGATCTCCGCGTGTCGGTGTCTTTGCATAATCGGAGTCAACGTACGCTGTTAGCTGCAGGCCATTACGATTTCTTCCATCAATGACAAGTCCGTATCCAATGGTGCCTTTCACGTAGCGTAGTATTCGCTTTGCTGCATTCCAGTGCGGAATGCCTGGATCATTCAAGTACTTGCTCACACACTGAATTCCGAACGCAATGTCGGGTCTGCTACCCGTCATCAAATACATCAATGAACCCACGAGTCCTCGGTAGTCTTTGGCTTTCATTTGTTCACGCTCGTCATCATTCTTAGGACTGTCCTCTTTTGAGAGTACAGTACCTGGGTCACAGGGAGTTTTGCACGGATTCATCTGTGTCAGGTTAAACCGCTCAATAACACTCTTGGCGTAGGAAGTTTGATCGATGCTGAGTGTCTTCGACGATCGATCTCGCTGCACGCGTAGCCCCAGGATGAGATGCACTTCACCCATGTCTTTGCATTTAAATGCTTCTGCTAACATGCTTTTAATGGCTTCTACTCCACTTGTCGTGTCTGCTATCAAGAGTAAATCGTCCACGTAAATGCCAATGATGGATAAGGCATGGTCGCCTGTACGCACGTAAATGCATGCATCACTATTGAGTTTCACATAGCCTTTTGTCTTTAGAAAGTTCGTTAACTTCTTGTGCCACGCTCGCGGTGCTTGCTTTAGACCATAAAGTGACTTTGTCAGTAGACACACGAGGTTCTCTTTTCCTTTGACCACAAGGCCTTCGGGCTGTAGCATGTAAACTTCTTCAGTCATTTCACCGTTTAGAAACGCGGTATCCACGTCTGTCTGATGACATTCCCAGTCGTTGATTGCCACTAACGCGAGTAGCATTCGAAGAGATTCCAGTCTAATGACAGGAGCAGATATTTCGTCATAGTCTACATATTTAACTTGCTCATATCCACGA